TTTTAATACTTTAGTTTAATAAAACTTTTTTAAAATAAATATAAATTTAGTAACTACTTTATTAAATACTATTATTATTATATTTATATTATTAAATACGTGTAGTACTTAAGTRRYTACTTTATTAAATACTATAACTAATATATTAAATACTAACTTTACTTTACTAAAGGCTGCTATTATTATATTTATATTATTAAATACACGTGTTAGGCAAGCAATTACTTTATTAAATACTATTATTATTATATTTATATTATTAAATACGCGCGTTATTTAAAAAACTATTTTATTAAATATATATAGTGCTCTAGCGTTAACCTAAACTTTAAATATATTAAATATATTATTTTTAGTATATAATAAATAATTAACTTAACTTACTATTAATAAAGCGGCTAATATATAATTATTAATTATATTAAAATAAGCTAGGACATGGTTTATTATAAGGTATTTTAGTAAATATTTATTTTTATTAAATATAATTACTATTAATATTTACCTTAATTTTTAGGCTAACTTAATAAGTATTAATTTAGCTAATATTATAAATATTAAAGCACTAGGCTTACTAAAGTATTTATATAAAATTTTACTAGTTTTTAAAATAACACCACGCGCGGCTTACCTAAATATATTATTAAAATATAAATTACCCTTACTAAAGGTTAAAGTATTACTATATTTAAAATTATTATTTATTTTTTATTTTTTATAAATTTACAAGGTAAATAATAGGTTAGCTATTAACCTAATTATAATTATATTAAATAAAAAATCTCCCCCCCGGAGTCCTTTAAAAAAAAAAAAGAATAGCCTAGTTACTTAAATTATTTAGTAATTTCCCCTAGTTAGTGCCTTTTATATATATTTTTTATATTACTTTTAGTTATTTTACATATTCGCGGTTTTTTTTACATGTTTTTTATTTTTTTTTACTATTTTATATATTATATTTCTTATTTTCCTACCTTAAGCAAAGTTTAGTTATATCCCTTTTTTAATTTTAAATAAACTTTAGTTATATTTTATTTAATAAATAACCAGGAGGTTTACCTTCTTTTAAAAAGGGTATTTATTATATAACTTATAGTTATATAATATAATTACGTTACCTAGTTAGCACACGGAGGTTTCCTCCGTGAATATAATCATCATCTTCTTCTGCAGACAAAGCCATAACATCTTCACTCGGTGTGACACTAACCTAGGTAAACTTAGAGACAGCCTGACCCCTGAAACCCCAATCCTAGTTATTTGATTTGATGGCGTCCCGTATTCGTGTTTGAAATTATCCTATTATCTGCCTTGAAGAGACATCCATAAATTCAGTAAAAGTTTTTAAAGCATAACTGCGTCAAGGTCATAGGTAGGTAGGTTCTGGGCCTTGGCTGATAATCTAGCTAGATACGATTACGGAGTAAGCCTCAAGTTATTTGTCCCACATACTGAAAACTTCCCTTCTGTAGCACATAATTCCATTAAAACTGATTAAAACTCTACCTAGGTTTGGGGTTCAAAAAGACACTTTTAGTTTTATCTTAACCCTAGATGTTACCTTCAACAGATCAGCCACTAAATAGATTATAAAGTTCTATTCTCTACTCCTTGCGACTTAGTAGCACCTCTAGACAGGATTTCCTAGAGATATAATGCAGTATTTTGCCATTTGCTCCTTGCTTGACTGGGATAAGCATTGTTTGATTAATATTTTCTTGATTTATTTTTAAGCGACCAGTAATACTGTATTTAATGCCCTGGCCCCACTAGGACTCGCTCAGAATAACCATTTTGGGCGTGTCAAGGTCTTTTTGGCAAGTCACCAAGTGTCACAGGATTTGACTAGTCATGCATAGTCCTAAGCCGCAAGCGACGTTGTACAGCAATTTTAAATGGCGGTCAGTGCTTCTAGAAATTATTTTCTTTTTATATTTGACCCTTGCTTTTCTAGATAACCATAATAGCTGTTGGTTATTTTTATTTAGCGTTAGCAAGATTAGATTTTATGTTTCCTTAGCCTGATTCATGATAATTTTATGATTAGATATTTGAGGCTGGGTAGTTAGTAGAAAGTCCCCTAAGTTCTGATCATCTGATGTCAAAGAGCCTAATGGCAGCCCACATTAGGATCAGCCTGATGCAGTAATGTAGTGTGCCAGCGAATCAGGAAATAGGGAAAGATTATCCCTGTGTCTGGGTGTCAGATCTTGTCCTGGTTAGGCTTAGAACAGTGTGCCTCGAGCATTAAATGACAGCTGCCCAGGGAGCCTACTTTAGTGGCGTAAAATCCATAGACTGCGATGGATATATGCCCTTGTCAGTTACAGTAGTAGCATCAGTAAGAGAGGAAACTCCATAGGGATGGTACGTCGCAATTAGCATTAATAAGTTCATTGCTTGCACATTATGCTTTCGGCGCTTGTAAAGGGCGCGACATGGCGATTTGTAGAAGGCCTCCTGCTGCTGCCGCCGCTGTAAACCAATTAATCAATAAAGACTGGATGCTGAATGCTTGATTTTACAACAGAGTTGGAGAGATCACTAAGCAGAGTAATAAGAATTTATTGTCTCCACCAAAATTTGACTATTGGATGGATAGGGCAGAGACAAGACATGCTGTATTAAATACAGGACAGCAGCAGGGCAGGATAACTTCAGCCTTTAGGGTGATGAGGAAGTGATTATAAAGTAAGGATAAAGTAAGGATAAAGTAAGGATGAACTTTAAAGGATAAAGGAAGGATAAAGGAAGAATAAAATAAGTATAAAGTAATGATGTTACTGTAAGGATAAAGTGACCATCCTGTAGTTGGCTGTCCCGCGAACACGCTGGAGCTAGCGTGTTATTATACTAAAATCTAGTAAATATATTGCTGTAACATATTTATTTTTTAAGTGTATTAAAATATATACACCTAGTTTTTACTAAGGGTGGTAATAAAAGCTTAGCCGGGTGGTAATAATAAGGTTATATATAAGGTTAGTAATATATACTAATAATACATGCTATAATAGCTATAAGTAATAAATCTAGCCTATATATAGTAAAATTATAATATTAATATAATAAATTTTTATTTTTACATACTTTACACCTAGCTCCAGCGTATCTTTGCCGGGTGTTCATACTCTAGCATGTTGGCAAACCAGCGGACTGCGGGATGGGAGGATGGTGAGCCAAAGATGAGCCAAAGATGAGCCAAAGATGAGCCAAAGATGAGCCGGAAGTAAGCCGGAAATAAGCCAGTAAGGATAAAGTGTCGGCACGGGTGAGTGCGTAAGGCATCATTCTATACCGGATTAAGACTAGCGCGTCACGTGGCCCATAGAGTTTTCTCCCGCCGATCAAGGCAAACCTCTTAATACACCAGACTTCACCTATTGGCCGCTGCGCCTACGTTGGCTGTCATAAAGTAAGCCTGGTGAGCCTGTGAGGATAAAGTAAGGATGAGTTAGGAAGGGAGGCGGTGGGAGGAGCAATTACCAATAAGGTTAGGGAGAGGGGGCAAGCAACCCTCTCAGACTGTAAGCTTTTCTTTTTACACATGAGAAATGTGCTATCTAACATACTAAGCTTAATATTGAATATTGTACAGGCAGGTATGCAACCATTTCAAGTATGGTACAAACTAATCCCTGGTGTCTAGTTAATCTTATAATAATACTAACTTAGTAACTTTCTAACCCTTATTTTACTTTCTTAAAAACTTGCTAGTCCTTTTAATTACTTTAAAAGCTTTATGATTAACTCTAAACCAATCTTAGCACCTGAAATCCTACTAACCATAACCCTAGGTGTAATATACTGTTTGGCGGGTAAGGAAGCATTATACTTTTTAGCATATGCCTAGAAACTACTAAGTAGCTGTACCTAGAACTCCTCGCAGCATCTTCTGTTACACAGTATTAGCCCTTTGTTAGCTCGGCCATTTCCTGTGGTAGCTGGCTTGGGAAATTCTCGGAGCTGTTAGCATATACCGCTAGGCCATAAAAACTAATTAGCTAAAGGCCCGTTTTTATACTTTAATATACCCCCTAGAAGGTTGGCTTATAGCACTGTTTTACCCTTGGTAGGTAGATTACCCTTGTACTAGTCCTCCTATAGTATTTTTAAGATTATTAAACTTAAATATCTAGGTTTTAGTGATAAAGGCACAGGTAAGAATTAAATAAAAGGTCTAACCTATTAAGTATTTGTTTGCATAAACAGACCCTATAAAGACTACTCCGGGCTTAGCCCTCTTACTTATTATAGCCACTGGTTTTAACGCCCCTATCTATATAGGGCTCGCCGGCGCTGCCAGAACGCGCAAACCGTGACAGTTGCCGGGGAGATGGCCGTAGAATAAAGTGTTGATCTGCTTAACGTCAAAGGCTCTTTGCCTATTTCCATAGTTCCACCCAAGTATGTTAAAGATAGTTAAATGCATGCTGACACAAAGGTAAGCAGTCTTTGGCGCGACCGCTCAGAGTCCCTGATGTTGTGAATGACTCTGAGGCAGAAGGCAACATCCCCACAATTGAAAGGTTAATATACGTAATAACAGCAAAAGGGCATATCCCCCATTCTGACCAGAGCCAACTACAAGGGTACGAGCCATCTATATGAAAATCTGAGCGGAGATAGGATGTAGATAACGGGACGGCGATTTTGCGTAGGCCTTTAATGGCTTTGAGAGTCCTCTGCGTTTTACACTAGACACTCAAACTCATTGATAATGCAGGCCGTGATAGCGCAGTACCCGACGGACTGGAGAAGTGGCGTCTTATTCTGATGTTTAAAATGTAGTGATGCCCTACCCAGGTATGCGACAAGCTATCTACCTAACATAGTGCACCTGGTAACGAAACAAGTCCATATCTCCGTTCTCCAGCACTGTATTCATCCGAGAACAAGATATATAAATTGAATTGCCGAAATTTGTGGTGATGCTTGGCTGTCCGGGTAGGCTTCACATGTTCCAATGGTTAATTAGAGACACCAAGCACAACAGAAAGCTAACAGCGCATCTTCTCCAAATGCACCTTCAGTAATCCCATCGCCACTTCGACCTCGGGGAGATTGCACTCCACCCAGGTAGGGGGCGGATGAGGAGCGATATAGTACTGGTGTGCCTTATGGAGGGCGTTTGAAACAATCAAGTCCGTGTCCATCACTTGAAGACTCGGGTCAAGGAGCCGGGCGACAATATCGGGCTTACCAGATACGGCTGCTATGTCAAGGGCCGTTTTCCATTCCTTGTTTCGGTGCCAAACATTTCCTTCAAAGAATGGAAGCAGCATGTTAAGAATCTCAACGCTTGAGCGAGAGGCGTGGAGAAGGGGGGTATCCCCATTATGGTCTGGAGCAGTCTTGTCAACATTTTTGTTGTTGAGAAAGAGCTTGACAAGTTGTGCAACCCTTTTAAAACTGTGGCTTGTCTGATGCCGAGGGCATATTGCCTCAGCCAATGGCGTTCCTCCTTCATCACTAGCCAGATTGGGGTCAACTTCAGGATGATCGAGCAGCGCCTGGATCATCTCCAAATGCTGTTGGCCATCCCCTTTTGATTTATTTATCTCCGTGGAGTGATACTCTCCTATTGCACATAAGAGCGGAGGATCGTTATCGTATACATTGGAGGTACCCCTAGCGTTCACATCGACCCCTGGGTGGTCCAAGATGGCTTTGAAGGTTCCGAAGTCGCCGCTCTCGATGGCGCAGTGCAGGGGCGTGCGATTGTATAAGCCAATATGGTTTACTGGGCCGTCTCCGAGGGAGAGTAAATATTTGACCACATCTTCTGACCCGCAAAATGCAGCTGTAGCGAGTGCCGAGTTCGGAGTCCCCCTCTCATATTTGAAGTCTCTCAGAAGGCAAGGCGTGGTCTGGATGAGGGTCTGGACAATCCTGACGCTCCCGCCTTCAAGCAGTAGTAGTAGTAGTGATATTTAACGCCCCGGGGATTGCTAGGCGTACGCTTAATATTCCAGACCTTTCTTAAGGTATAGGGGCGTGCCGCTGCTAGGTAAGTAGCTTATTTAAATAAGTTTATATATAAGTAGGCTTTTTATTTTAAAGGGTAACTTTTATTAAAGCTTGTAAATTAGGCGCCTGTTTTTTACTTATTATTTTAATATATAATTATTAGTAGGTATTATTTATTACATGCTTAAAAGTTTAATTATAATATTTTATAAGGTCTAGCCCTTATATTAAAAAAATATATTAAATAAACTAATTATATTAAAAAAAGGTATTTAAAAAAAAAAAGTATAATATAAAAAAAAAAAAAATTATTTAGTACTAAGCTAAATAATTTTAATATAAAAATTACTAGGGCACGGAAAGCCCTAGTATAGGTAAATAAACTTATAAAAGTTTATAATTTTAAATAAAAATATAAAGCCTTTAGGCTTTAGTTTATAAAGGTACTTTAAGGCCTTAACCTTAATTATTAATAATATTATAAAATACTAAAACTATTATTAAAATTACTGCCTAAAGTAATAATAAAAAACTAGGTATTTAAGGCTTTTATTTTTTTTATAAAAATAAATAAGCCTAGTATTTTTATATTAAAAATATTTATAATATTACTTAAAGTCCCTGTGTAAGAACTTAAGTATTAACTAATAATATAAAATTAAGTACTTTAATATAAGCTTAAACCATAATTTAACTTAATAAAGCTTTAATTTTATAAGCTATTATTTATACTAAATTAATAATTTTATAAAGGTATTTTTTTATTATTTAGCTTAAGTAGTTTAATATATTTATTTATATAGGTTATATATCCCACTTGCGGTGGGCTATACCTTAAAAAAATTAGTATTTAAGGGCCGCGCTTTTATAAAGGCTGCCTTATTAATTAATTTATTAGCTAGCTTATTACCTTTAATATTTATATATTTAAAAAATTATTATAGGCGGACTATATATTAATTTATAAATTAATATAATATTTAAAAGGCCTAATTTAAAAATAGTAAGGGCTACCCACGCATGTATTAAATTATTAAAATATTATTAATATAAAGTTAGTAATAAGATGCTTTTAAAAGCTTTTTAATTATAGCCTTTAGTTTTTAAAATATATTAATAACTTTAGTATTATATATATAAAACTAGGTACTAATTATTAATAGCCTTTATATTTTAAGGTATTATTTATAATATATTATAAAGCTATAGCTTATATAATAAACCCCTTAATATATTTACTTAAAATTATTACTAAAAAATACTATTTTTATTATTAGTAGTGCTTATTATTATTATTTAAACTTTTTTATAGCTAGCTTCTTGGCCTTGCTATTAATAAGATTTTTTAAGTACTTTTAAAAATAATAAAAGTATATTAAAACTAGCCTAAAAGTTTTTAAAAAAAATACTTTTATTATTTATACCTTTATTTTAGGTTTTTAATATAAACTAGCGCCCTAACCATGTAAAATCTTTAGTAATATTATTTATATTACTAGCAGGTTTTAGTTATTAATTAGCCTTAACCTTAAAATAAAGTATAGTTATATTTTTTTTAGTATTATTATTATAAAGGGAAGCCTAGCATTTTTAAAAAAAGTTATTATAAATATTATTTAAAAAACTAAAAATATACCGCAAGTGGCTAGCACTAAGGTTTTTTTAATAACTTTTATATATTAGCCTAGCTAGGCGCTAACTTTTAAATTTTATATATACTTTTTAGGTTTAATCCTGCTGTTATACCACGCCTTTATATTATATAATAAGTTAAAAATAATATAAATAATAACTACCTTATAAAAAAAGTTTACAGGCAGGCTATATATTATATATATTAAATTATAAATATATTAGGCTATTACTTAGGCTTTAGCTACCTGCTTAATAATATACTAGCACTAAAAAAACTATTTATTAAAAAAATATTTAGCTAGTATAATATAGGTTATTTTTAGCCTAGTACTATAATAATAAAAGTAATTATTAACTAGTTATTAATTATTAATAAGGGTAATTTACCATGCCGCTTTTAGGTAATATATAATATTTTTAGTTTTTTAGGTATAAAGGCTATTTTATTTTATTTTTTTTAGGCTAGTATACTATAAATATTTTTTATTAAAAATTTATAATTTATATGGAGGGAGTTGCTCGCGTAACTAAGGTAAAAGTTATTTATATAATTAAAGTATAAGATTAAGTTTACTAATAATAGCTTAGTAATATATAATAAAAATAATACTAAAAAAAGGGGCAAGCCTTATAGTATATTATAATATATTAAGTATATTATTATTATAATAAGTTTTAGGCGCACTTTTATACTTTATTTATTAAAAAAACTTATAATTAGGGCTAAAAGCACGCAAGGCTAGCCTTACTTTATTATTTATTAAAATAAATATTATAATAAAATAGTATTAAAGGCGCCTAAAATATTTATAATAATTATAATAACTTCCTGGTTTTATAAAAGTGCTATTTTTATATTATAAGTAAAAAAGGCCATTAAATTTATAGCTAAGTACTTAAGTAAAATACTATATTATTATAGGCTTAATACCCCTTATACTAGTATAATAAAAGTAATATAATATATTATTATTTATTTAAGTTTTTTTTTAATACTAAAAGTAGTATTATAAGGCGCCAGAATTAAAATAAAAACTTATTTTTTTTATTATTTTTTAAAAATATTACCACTTTTATAAGCTTTTATAATAAGGGAAAGTATTTTAATTATAGGTATTAATTATATAGCCTATATATAGCCTACTTAGTATATTTTTAGTAAGCTTTTAAAATATAAATTATTACTTAATTTACCCCGGGAAAGGTGCTACTTATATTAATAATATTTTTTTTAACCTTTTTTAGTAAGATTTTTTTTAGCTAGTAAAAATACTTATTATTTTACTAGTGCTTTAGCACTAGGGAATTAAAATTTAAGTTATTATTTATATTAAAATACTTTAATATTATTTTTTATAGGATATTAGCCTTTTCCCGCGTGTTTTTAATTATTTTATTATTTATTAATAATAAAAAAGCCTTAAGCCTAGGCTTTAGCTTATACCATGTTATTATTTAGTATAGTTTTTAATTATTTTTAATATTATTAATTATTTTAGTTTAATACGCGCGCTTAATTTTATAAATTATAATTAAAAATTACTTTTTTTATTTTAGGGTAAGGTTTACTACCCAGGCTTAGTAATTTTTTATATATTTAATTAATTATTAAGGGGTGTTATAGCTCCCTAGGTTAAGGTATTTATTAATTATTTATATAGCTTTTATAATAATATTACTAAAAAATTTAATATATTAATTTAGTACTTTTATATTCCTAAGTTCCCTGGGCTAAAAAAAAATATTATTTTATTTTTTATTAGCCTAGCTAGGCACTTAAGCTTATGGTCTAGTATATTATAATAATATTATTTTAGTATTTTTTTCCTATGCCCTAGCACTATAATAACTAAAATTTCATAATTAAAGTTATTATATAACTTAGGTATTACCAGCATGCAAGTAAAAAAAATATTTAAAAAAATTAAATTAAAAATATAACTAGCTTTATATATAACCACGCCTGGCTTATTAATATAACTAATATTATTATTACTAGCCTACCTAGTAATCTTACTATTATAGTATAGGTTATTTACCCTAGGCTTAAAGGTATTATAAATAGTATTAAAATTTTTATTAATTATATAGTTTAAAGTAGGGATTAATATAACTAGGTAATTAATTATTTTATAAATAATTAGTTTTTAATATATATTTAAAACCTTAATATTATTTACTATAAATTATAGCATGTTTTAGCTTTATACTAGGTAGTATTATTTAGCATGTAATACTTTTTTTTATAAATATAGGTAAGTACTTTAAGACGCTTTTTTAATTAATTTTTATAATTATTTTAGGCGTTTACTAGCGTGTAATATTTATATATTAAGTAATTTTAAGTTTTTATGCCTATAGTAGTCCAGGGCTTTTAAATATAAATAATATTATAATTTTATTTATAAGCTAGTTATAAAATTATAATATAGCTAGGTATAAACCTGCTTATATTAATTTAATAAATAGTAAAATCTTATTATTATTAGGTATTATTTTAATAGTAGTTACCATGGTTTTTTTTTAATACTTTATTATTAAAGCTTAAAAAAAATTTAGTATTAATTTTTATTACCTAGGGTAAGAAAAACGTGCCCGCGCTAGCTAAAATAAGTAAAATTAATTTAATAAAAAGTTATTTAAAATTTTAATTACTAGTAAAGGCGTTAAATCACAGGGTATAATAATTAATAATTATTATAAAGCCTTGCTTATTTACCTTTAGCTTTTTTATAACATGCTTTTAAGGGTTTTTTTAAGGTAAAAATTACTTAATTTTAGCTTAAAGCTAGGTATTAGTATTAGCCTAAGTATATATATTTTAGTATTAATAAGCGTTATAATAGCACATGCTATTAAGCTTTTTTTTAAATAAGTAAACTAGTTTTTTATTTTTACGCCTAGGGGCCACTAGGTAATTATTATATTTTATTAACTAGGGGCCTAGGTAGTTTATATAATATATAAGATTTTTATAATTTAAATTAATAAAACCTAGGTAATTTATAATTATTATATTATATTATATATAATATATTATATAGTTATATTATACTAGGTAATAATATTTTTAGTAGCTAGGGTTATACCAGGAAACTAGCTAGTATTTTTTAATAAGTTAATAATATTTATTTTAATTAAATAAAGTAAAGGCCCTAGGCTACTTTAAAAAAAATATTACTTAAATAATATACCTAGTATTAAGGTTAGGCCTATATTTTAAAAAAATAAGCCTAACTAGCTTTAATTTAGTTTAGGCTATAACTTTATTTTAAATTAACTTTATAATATTTATTTTATTATTATTATATATTAAAATAATATTAAATACTTTTTATACCACATAGTTATATTATTTTTAAAAAATATATATATTAATAGCACCTAGGGTATAGTAAATTATATTAATTACTTTATTAATTATTAAAAAATTTTTAATAAAAAAGTTATTAAAAATAATAGCCTAGCTTATATAAATAATATTAATTTTAAAAATAACTATAATTATAATTAAGCCTAGTATATACTTAATAAGAGCTTGCTAAATAATATATATTTTAAGGCATGTTATTAACTTATTATTAAAAAAAATAATTAATATTTTATAATTATTTTATATAATTAAGGCCATAGTAAAGTTATTATATATTAATTAAGCTATTAAAGTATTTAATAAGGGTACCTTACCTAGGGTAATATTAATTAAAGTAAAAAAACTTATTTTAAAAAGGGTAGGTTAAGCCCTTAAATTTTTAAAAATTAAACTTATTCCCCCCTAGGTAATAGTTTTACTAAAGGTTATTATAATAATAAGCTAATTATATATATATAAAAAAATATAATTAATATTATTAATATTAATATAGCCCTTTAAAAAAATAAAGTATATAAATTTATTATAAATATTATAAGTAAAGGCTTTTTAATCCTAAGTTTTTTATTTAATTATAAAATTATTAATAATAATTATAAAGCTTATAAAAACTTTATGCTTAATACATGCCTAATATTTTTATTTATTAAATTAATTATAAAGGGCCTTTATAACTAGGCTAGGTTAGGAAATTAACACGCTATTACTTTTAATAATAAAAAAAAAAAATAAGCTTACTAGGGCCCTTTTTTTTATTTTTTTATAATATAAAGGTTAAAGGGGGATAGGGAATTTTATAATTAAGTAAAGTTAGCTAAATTAAGGCCCGTGGGCTAGTTAAAAATATACACCTTAATTTTAGTTATTACACCGCGGGGAGTAATAAAAAAGGGAAAAAAAAGTTAAAAATAAAATTAAAATAGTAAAAATATATATTTATAATAGTTTTAAAGCGTCTGGAGCCCTTATTTAAAGGTACCCCTAGATTGCTGAGAGTTGTAAAGGTGTCCCGCCTTCAAGCGCGCGCTTGAACAGTTCAAACAGTAATTGATCTCCCAGGGTAGCTTTGCTAATACGATATAGCATTCTGAACATGTTTTCTTGCCCCAGAAGGGCGGCCATCTCAATAGCAGACAGTTTATCTGCGCCGTCTTCATCGCTCTTAACGTCCAAATTCACGTCTTCACACTTGAGGACCTTAAGGAGCTGCTTGAGGACGGCGTCGTGTTTCTTTCTAATAGCCCAGCCAACGGGGGAACAGCGATGAGAGTCCATACTGGTAATATGGTAATAGACGCGCTGAGAGGAGAGCAGCACTCCAGCAACATTTGCATGCCCACCTGCTGCAGCAAGGTGTAGCGGTGTCTGACCACTGCGGTTCGTACTGTCAGGTGTGGCGCCTTCATCAAGTAGGAGCTGAACGAGTTCGGGATGGCCCCCCATAGCGGCAAAGTGGAGAGGGCTGTTCAGTTCTGCGCCTTGCTTCTTGTTAACGTTGACGCCCATTTCTATCAGTAGTTCGATAATATCCAACTCGCCAGAGAGAGCAGCAGCGGTCAACGGTGCAGCGAGTCTGTCCCATTCACAAAGCTCTGGGTCAATCTCCGCGTTGAACTCAAGCAGAACGTTAAGATGATCCATGTGACCCAGGTATGCCGCGGCCATCAAGGCTGCAGTATCAAGATCCGGCGCCTTGGAAGCCAAATCTTCCTCTCTCACCCGCCCACCAATGATGCTGAATATCGAGTGCGGGAGGTACGCTACCATGACCTCAAGAGTTACACGGCGATACGATCTTGTCAACTCCTGAACCTCAGCAAACCCGATCCCATCCGCCGAGAACAGTGCAACAGCCATGTCTACCACGCCTGCAGCTACTTTGATGGAATGAATAGTATCTCCGCCATTGTGCTCCCACTGCTCCATCAAAACGTCAAGAAGCCTTGAGTCTCTTGCCATCATCGAAGGTGTTGGAGGGGTCGGCTCAAAGGGCGGCGGGGTGTCGTAGGGGTCATCTTCCTCGAGGTCATCTTCTGGATCACGCCTTCGAATCGCGGCAATAAAGAGTCCAATAACGATTTCATCAAAGGTCTCTGTCATCTCTGTTAGTGTCCCAAGTCTCGTCTCGAGAGGTATAAGAGGACGCACTACAGACCAGGCGCAAACTGAGAAACCAGATGAGGTTCCTCTGCGCAATCTTGTCCGACTCCTCGAAAAATCTGAAGTCCAAGCAGGGAGTAAGGTAGGACAGGATGCTCTCTACCAGCTCAAATGGCAAGGGCGAACGCATCGTGCACGGAGTGAACAGCGTTTCTTGGCAATCTGGTGGACCGTTTTTGAAGAGGAGAGTAACAATGGTCGCCGCTCTGGCTGCGGCGCTATGTTTGGCCTAAAGGACCGATTAGAATAAGGGATGCAGACCCGCGATGAAAGGGAAGCCAGGAATCAAGATGGCGGATGTCTTTAGAGACGGGGAAGTTTGGTTTTGAAGGAATGGGGATCGTGGTCGAAGGTTGTGTGTTTACGAGAAGGCTGGGGGCGGGGAAGGCACGACCAGCTGCAGGGGAGCCTCAGGCAACGGCAGCCTCACCCCAGCAAATACGTAAAACAATCATTTCCACCATCATCCTCTTGGCCTAGGGACTGAATGGAAGCTGATGGTCTTTCAATATGATCTCACAGGGTGAAAAAGTTGGGAAAGTCGATGAGACCTTGCGGCAAAAAGGCTACAATAAATATGTGTATACAGCGGGTATACAAGAGATGGTACAAAAGCTGGAGACTGAGCGCAGTTGGCTGATTATTTTATTAAAAAGACAGATTGCTAGAACTATCTTGTTAACTAACATGGTTTGCCGAGCTAGACTGCAGCTACTCGCTATCCTAGGGAACAGCCGACTACTAAAGACTGTCCTTCATAGCCTGCAGACGCGCCGAAACCATCTTGACAGCCTTGATCATGTTTTCCTCTTGGTCGTGGTAATATTGGGCTCGCTCGATCACATATTGCAAGAGTTCCTCAGGTACGCCGAGCTTTGGTTCAAGGAGTATAGCAACAATGTCTAGCTCTCCAAAAACCACAGCAAGCTCCAGGGTAGACCATCCTGCGGAGTTCTGCCACCAGACATGACTTTTTCTGTAAAAAGGAAGTAATTCTTTGAAGGCGTGGATGGATGACGCAGCGGCATCGAGTAAAGGCGAACTCCCTTCACGATCGACGACGTCCTTTTCGACACGTTCATCTGCAGTAAAGATCTTGACCAGTTCGATCAGAGTTGCGTAGTTGGGTTTGAAATCGCCGTTGCGCATAGCCGCCAATAACTCTCCCAGAGGCGTTCTTCCTTCCTCGTTGGTAGGATTAGGGTTGATGTTGCGATGGCCAAGCAGGGCTCTCACAATCTCGGGGTTTCTGCAATGCTCGCTGACAGCGAAGTGCAAAGGGTGTGCACCGTAATCATGATCTCCTGATGGGTAATTGACATCGATGGCAGGATATTCAAGTAGCGCTTTGACAGTGCCGAGATCACCGCTCCTGATCGCGAGAAGAAGGGGAGTGTCATTGCCCTCCCAGAAATAGTTCACTGTCGTCTCATCTCTATTACCTGCCGTCTCATCTCTATGACCAAGTAAATATCTTGTCAGACTCTCGTGCCCATGGGCAGTGGCCAATATGAACGGCAGGTCATAGCCCCAACCTCGCCACTGGGGGGGGGGGGTTTATTCGTGTAGCAGTGTAGATACAATGCTAGCGTTTCCGCCTTCCAGAGCTAGCTTAAAGAGTTCATTGGTGTCCTCCAATCGTTCAAACATCCGGTAAGCATTCTTGAGCAGGTGAAAGATTCTTCCTTGTCCGTAAAGTGCTGTGGCAGCAAAGGGACTGTATTGTCTGCGGCCACCAAAGTATTCCCACAAGTATAAGAGGTTCGTACCCATGCGCGTATGCTGGATAATCTTCTCCACGACTTTATCGTGTCCTCTCCGGATGGCCCAATCTATGGACAAGCGGTTTTCGGAGTACCAGTACCGGGTAGCTTGGCCGGCACGCTTGTTGTGAAGCAAGCACTTCACAGCGTTCAAATGGCCTCCCGCTGCTGCAAAGTCCGGAGCCTTCTGCTTAGTGGAGTTTGCAACATCAGGATTAACTCCATGATTAATCAAGAACTCAATGGCATTTACGTGGCCCCCTATTGCTGCAAAATGCAGTGCCGAGTACTGGAGCGGGCCGTGGCGTGCATTAAGATCAACATCTTTATCCTTTAGGAACTCTAGGACATCCAGATGTCCGCCCAAAGCCGCCGCTAAGAGAGATGGCCCCCAGCTGAGGTGCACGGCAAGCCCGAGGTCCAGTAGCAACTTGATGTGATCCAAGCGGCCAAGATAAGCGGCAGTCATTAGGGCGCCGTTTAGCGAGTCTGGTAGTCCAAAGTCGTCATCGCCCTTCTTCTCGTCTCCTTTTCCGGTGATAAGTTGGAATATCTGTTCTGTTGGAAGGATTGCCGCCAATATAGCGAGTAGCCCTTCGCGATAGGGAGCTCTAAAGTCACCTCTGTCGATGCCAATGTTCTTCCCGTCAACTGCTTCCTCCGCGGATCGTGAAAATAATCTGACAGGTGTTTCCACCACCTTGGTCACATAAGCACTTGCCGACACGGCAGCCTTAGACGGTTTGAGAGACACATCCAGCAGTCTCACGGCAAGTGCCAACGTCGAAGGGCTCGGTGGAAACCATTCAAACAGCGTCTGTGGGAGGCCAGTATCGTCCGTGAATTCCGGAGCTGCAGCATAGGTGGCCGCAGCTTCAAGGTGGGTGCGAAGGAGATGAGTCAACCTTCTAAGGACGCTGGTATCAAACTTTCCTTTGGACTCTTATTAGTATCACCATGTTGTCCATCGCAGGAAGATCATATCTCACTGTTAACCAAGCGCAAACTCAAGAACCAGCGTAAGTCCGCACCCGCTCTTTTCCACCCTTTCTGGGGGTGGAAAGGAAGGAGCTCTTCGATATAGTAGTTGCCCTTCGCAACTGTGAAAATAGAAGGATCTAGGTTCGGGGCGCATTGAGAGATGATCATGTCGATCAGCTCACGCGACAATCTGAGGCTTCCAGCCGACTCGGAAATCTCCAAGCGGGTTGAGTGTTCGGCCATCTTGGCGTTGACGATACCTTGGAGCTCAAGGCTCAAGGTGGTGTAGGGGAAATCTGAGAGACGGCGAAGGTGATCCAGCCGATCAGGGTGGATGGTAGAGGACAGCGGCCGGCTCTAGCTGCGGCGCTGTGTTTGGTCTTGACGATTAATCGCGGAGGAGACGCAGAGTTGCGGTGGGAAAATGTGACAGGAGAGGCAGACGAGAGACTCCAGTTTTCTGAAGGAATTCTGTTTGTGGGAGGGGGGTGTGTTTACCGAAACAAGGAACCTTGGGAGGCACCACTGGCGACCACCTGCAGGCTGCTTGGGGGCCTCAGACAACTACCTACCAGTACATCACGGCGGCATTCCCCCATAGATGAGGTAACGTATCAGCCACCCAGCACGATATAGACCGCTGTTACTCGTCGCTGACATCGATAGTATGGATTTAAACATGGGCATAGCCTGGCACCTGTCGGTCAAAGAAAAATAGAAATTCAAAGGGTCAGAAGCTCCTCTTCTTCCACGTTTCCTCCGCCCATTACTGGAACACACAAGACGCAAGTGGACGGTGAGCAATTGTTGCTACCAAAGGAAGCGACGCCTAGGTAAAGGTCCTAGAGTTACACAGCTTTCTCTCGCTCTGTCTTCGCAGTATTGTGGATGCTGGTAACTGCGAGAAGCATCAGATTAGACCAGGGACTCACCTAAAATTAACTCTAAGTAACGGAACCCGATGCTTACTGGATCCCTTGATTATCCTTGAGTAGTGAACCTGTGCAGGTCGAGAAGATGTACTTAAGGTAGGTCGGAGAGACTTGTTGTTGAGAAATCAGCATATTAAAGCCGGAGTCTGGGTGCATGCATAATGCAGAAAGAAGAGGAGTACAAGAGGCTAGAGGGCGAAATTGTAGTCTAATAACTTGGAATAGAGAGTCATGTTTGAGAACTACCTACTGGAATATCCTGATCATGGAGGGTTGAATACATTTGGGGTATATCACACCGCAGCAGACAGTCAGCTCAAGCCTCCATCTTGTCCAGACACTCAGTCATCAGCTCAAGCGCATCTTCAAGTCCGAGATACTCTTCCGAGTGGCTTTCATCGTCGTACTCTTCGCCATAAGCTATGTCTTCCTGGGCTCTCTCAATGACCTCTTGAAGAACGTCCTTGGGTACGTTGAGATCTGGTTCCAGAAGCCTGGCGACAATGCCCAATTGGTCGTTGAATGCAGCATACTCAAGGACACTCACACCTGCCTTGTCTCGAAGCCAGATGTCGTCTTTGTAGAACGGTAATAGCATGAGGAAGATCTCCTTAGACATCCAGGCGGCATCCAGCAAAGGCGTGTTTCCTTCATCATCCACCACCTTCTTGTTGACGTTTTCCTTGTCAATGAAGAGCTTGACGAGATCTGGTCGAGCTTTCCAAGTCCAGGTCCAATACCCGTCCGGGTCCCACCAGTGACCATAACGCCCAGAATTCACAAGCTCTCCTAGGGGTGTTCTTCCGTTTTTGTTGGTGAGGTTGGGATTAATGTCCGGATGGTCAAGCAAGGCTTTGATAACCTCAGCGTTCCGATAACGTTCTTCGACAGCGAGAAAAAGCGGATGATCATCGTATTTGCCTTCCTCTGATGTGCAATTGACATTCACATCGACGTGTTCAAGTAGAGCCTTAACCGTTCCGCCGTGGCAGCTTTTGATGGCGAGTTGGAGTGGTGTTCCCTGATATTTGCAGACATTTACCTGCAGATCGCCTTGTAGAGACAGCAGGTATCTTGTCAATTGCTCGTGTCCATAGGATGCAGCATTCGCCAGAGGGTGGTAGTAATCAGTCTGGTAATTGCGGGGGATCCCATTATGTTTCTCTACCAGGGTACGTACGATAGAGGTGTCTCCCCCTTCTATTGCACAGAAAAGCAGATGATTGTCGTGATACGTATACCTGTCGGGCAGGTGACGGTATAACAAGTCGAACATAGTTGCCTGACCCCAGAGAGCGGCGGCCGCCAAGGGATCCATCGCAATTGTACCCCCAAAGTCGTTGTAGTCGTCAATGTTCACTTCCACCTCCTTGTATGACACAAATCCTCTAACAACATCATCAAATCCATGTATTACGGCCCAGGCGAGCGGTACACGGTCCCAAGAATCAAAGACATTTGGATCTACAGTCCTGGTACAGAGCAGAACCCGTACAACATCCGCGTGGCCACCTGCAGCAGCCAAATGGAGGGGTGTCTGATCACCAGAATTCCAGATGTTGGGATCGGCGCCATGACGAATACAGAATTGAATAATATCCTTCTTGTCGCCTATTGCTGCGAGATGCAAAGGGGAATATTCCAAGGGGCCGTGACGCGTATTTAGGCTAACGCCCTTCCCCATTACAAATTTCATGACATGAAGTCTTCCGCCAAAAGCAGCCGCAAGAAGCGAAGGTCGCAAGTCAAAATGAAACGCAAAACTCAAGCTCAGAATCTTCTTCATGTGGTCGATGCGTCCCACGTACGCCGCTGTCATCAATGTCGCATTTGGCGGGTCTGGCAGGTCAAGGCGGCCTTCCATCTCCTTGTCAATCGCCGCTCCTGTGATAATTTGAAGGATGTCTTTGGCCGGAAGGGTTGCCACGAGTAGTGCCAGGATGCCATGACGATAGGACTTTCTGAGTTTGGTTGGAGAATCCAAGTCAGCATTCTCGCAGTAGGATTCCTTCAGGAGAGGCAAGAATAATCTGACCGCGGCTCGCACAGTCGCGGTCAGCAAACGGCATATGCTATCACTCCTTGGCGTGTTCTGCTCGATCCTTGTGGCAGTACCATCCCGGTGATCATCTTCGGCGGTCGAGAACAGTCCAACAGCCGTCTCTACCGTGGCAGTGACCAGTTTCGTGAGGACACTGCTTCTTGCAGGTATACGCTCAGCCCGCCGAACACACGTATCCAGAAGCCTGATAGTCATTGCCATCGTCGAAGGTGTTGGAGGATCCCAATCAAAGGGCATTCTTGGGATCCAATCGCTAGGGCGAATATCCAGAGTCACTTCTGCCACGGTTCGGGCTCGAATAACATCAACCAAAAGGTCAAGGACAAAGGCATCGAACGTCTCTGCAGCATAACGTCAGTGTAAGTCCCCAAGATATAGCAATGGCTGGGGCTCGTACTGCTCACTAGGCGAAGACTTAGAAACCAGCACAAGTGGGCACGCGCCTGCTTCCACGTCCTTTTGCGAATCCTCAGCTTTTCATCCGCGCTGAGTGCAGGGTCCGGGATGAATAGAGAAGGGTCCAAGTTCGGCGGGCAATTCGAAAGAATGCTGTGAAGCATCTCTAGTGGCAAGTATGGATTCATTTCGAAGGTTGAATGGGGTTGTATAGAATTTTTCCCATTTGTTGTTGAGAAAGCAAATAACACCAGCACTGCTCTCCGCTGCAAGACAGGTCCTTGTCTGGAAGCCGGTCTTCCTGATACCAAGGAACCCTGGTGAGCAAAGCTGTATCATAGACAGTTGGAGGATCAAGAGGAAAGGTGAGCTGGTCAACTGATGAGCAAACCTGGTGGTTGAGGAGGGAGTTGCTCCAGATGCAACAGGGGACTCTAAACAATGGGAGGAGTCACGTGCTCCTGTCTCAGACTAGGAAGCCACCACCCGGCCCGCCTCCTCGTCAATAGCTGAGCCAGTCTTGAGATATTAAGCCTTAAAGCCTCTTGGCCTGGTAGAGTGTGAAGGAATTAATCCTGTTGTCTTCGACTTTTGTCTTCTTATGTCGGATGCTTACTGTTCGCTCTAGCATGTTGTGCGAAACCAGGAAGTTTACTAGCAGATTGAACACACTATTCTTGAGTCCAATCAGCTTTCCTCGCAACTGTTGTCATTGTCAAGCATCCGATGGCATCGGTTTAGCATCTTGGCGCTGTTGACTGAAGAGTTGGAGATGCTCCCTTACGGTAATGCTATCAAAGCCAGGATGGCGACATACGGGAATCCTGCAGATTTCAAAACCTCACAAACTTCTCCAAGCAAAACTTCTGTTCTCTTCAGCTGATCTTCCTCGAATATCACGTCATGCCGCAACCATACCGAAAATGGTACGACATGTACTCCGCCGAAGACACGCCCGAAGAGCGCAAACTCATTAAGCAGCTCGACCTCTTGATCGTTCCGTACGCATTTAGCATCTACTGAGTGAAATACATCGACTAGGAAGATATCAGTGCGTTCTTTCTTCTTGAAACACCCTTCAAGCTCTCTAACAAATCTCTCAGATAAAGCCTACTCTCCCGCATGGCGACGAACTCCGTTTTGCAAGGCAACGAGCTGGTGCATTTCCATACAATCTTCACAGTCGGAAATGTTTCCGCCTTACTACCCTTCATGTATCTCTTCCCTCGCGTACCGATGCACTACCATGTCCCGGCACTTAATCTCCTGTGGGGAAAATTCACGCTCTTGCAATACCGCGCGACAAGTTACGCCGAGATCATGGTGTACTGCTTCATGGTGTCCATCTTTGAGGTAAGCCCTCTGTCCTATGCCTCCAATTAACCAGCCAAAGGTCTATTGACCATATCCCCAGGCATCCTATTTTCCCGGAGTCCACTGCGTCCTCGGCACTTGGTACAGAAGCAACGAAATCGGGCGTCGCGGGGGAGCGTTCTATGTTGGATTAACATTTGGTCATCTAACAGCAAGCCTGCTACAAAGCGCAACGCTCAGTAACCTCGAGGATGTGCACGGGCTAGCTAGATAGCAGTGGCTGTTTATTGTCAGCACAATTATAAATCTTCCGCTCGCGCTGCTAGGGGTGTTCATATACTCAGGTACAATTGGCAAGTCAAATCAGGTAGTCATGAGCGAGAAGGATCTACCCATCGCCCGACGCATTCTAGAGAAGCAAGGAAACACCATCTCCAGCGTCCTGTTTTCCTGGTACCTCGTGAAGAAGGTCTGTGGGACGAAGCGCTTCTGGCTTGTTCTGCTCTGTGACAGTCTCTTCCTCGGAGTCAAAGCTCGACCAGCTGAACGCAATCAGTCCAGCTCTGGGAATCTTTTACATTCTCTTGATCAACTTCTCCACGGACTTGTTTCTCGACCGCGCGTGGGCCATCACGCTCGCTTCGGCGGTGGATTTTACATTGCTTGTCATACTCGCAGTATGGGACGTCCCCGAGAGCCTACCATGCATCAAGGAGCGGGCTTTAGTTCTTGTTCTCATCACCGCTATCTTAACAGGTTAGACGGCTTGAATCCCGCTCTGTACATATCCAGGCGTTGAAGGGCCGCAATTTAAATATAAATATAGCTTCTTAGCGGCTATTACCGGCTTACTCGTTGCGATGACGTTCTTCATCCGCTGGGTATATAGACCTAATGTGTACGCTGATAATACTCCCTCTACTTTACGATGAGTGTCCGCTAATTACTCGCAGGGAGAGGAATAGATCTGTTCGGAAAGGGTCCAGATCTACAGCCTCTGAAGCCGCAGGCGCCAACAAGCACTGCTCGAGATGACGCCCCCAAGAGCAGCCAGGTTTCTGTTACAACGGCCAGATAACACTCAATGACATTACCGGCCCTCTGTCTCACAATCATATTTCCAACTGATTTGCTCTGGGCCATCGGACAGAAATACAAATGTGGTTTAGTCAGCTCGAAGATGTCACAGACGAGCAGACAAGCAATGTCGACTTGATCAGACATGGGATTGACGGCGCCCTTCAGCAGTAGAGTATATGGGAAAGGATATTAAAGCGAAACTTCTCCAAGAATCCAGCACTGCAAAGCTAAAGCAGCACGCACAATCACAAAGCCTACCACCACCACCTGCACCAGGGCACCTGCAATATTGCGGCTTGCCAATAGAAACAGGACAATCCCCAGGGCGGCTCCTTATTCTCTCATTATAAGTCGTTGTAGTTTGCGCATTAGACACCTTCTAGATGACAACATGCCCAATTACAATACCTGTAATCGCAGCCGCAAATACACCACCCAGATCCGCAATTCTCCTCGTCGCCAAGTTCCCCTCATCCTCGTCCTCTTGATCCCGATCCTCCCCAGTGACTTCGCACCTGACTTCACCAGGCGCAGGCCCGGATGTCGTCCCGTTGAACCTATCGATGAAACCCTCACAATCGAACGGCAGGTCCGATCTCACGTACAACGTAGTCCAGTTCCGCAGGTTGGGCAGTGAGACGCTATGTATGGGGTTAGCACGTATATGTATACGGTAGAGTGACCGATTCTTCTCCCCGGTGGTTTCGCAGAAATGCAAATGCAGCGTAATAAGCGGAATCCCGCCAGACGTACCTCTCAATCTGGCCCACGAGGAAAACCCCCGTCGCATCTTCAAGCGGCAGGTCAATTGCCAGCGGCGAGGTGGCCGTTATCTCAAGCGAGTCTGTAATGTTCTTGAAGGCGGGGAGCGACAATCTGACAGCTGGTCAGTATGCGATGCAAAAGACAAGAGATTGCAGGAGAGCGTCGAGACGAACGATGAGAAATTGCCCTTGATGTGCAGACGTTCTTCCACCGAGCTGAGATTCGGGAGGTCAAGTGGTAAGGGAGGGCCGCTGTTGGAGAATAATGAAGGCAGGGGATTGTAGCCTGGTTTATCGATGCCCAGCTTTGTGAGTTGGGGTAAGGCGAGGCTGGCAGTGCATTATTAGTATTCCAGCTCTTAAGGATTTCGTGTGAGCGAAATACCTTGAAATGTTCCCCCAGACACGAAGACCGAAAGCGCTCTCGAGGGCAGGAAAGGACAGATTCATGCGTGTCTCGGCCGGCATCAGCGGCGAGTCCGTGTTATAGATCTTGACTTCGCCGTCAACAGCCCGCAATGAATCAAACGAAACGCTATAAATGGTAAGACATCGCTAACAGTGCTACCCAAGTACACGATACATACTTGGTCAAATTCCCCCCAACCCTCAAATCGCTGGTCGAATTAAGCTTCGGAAAATCCAGTTCTTCCAGATACGACGGAATTTCCAAAGAGACGCCACGGGCAGTAGTCAACTTCGGGACCGACCATGACTCAATATCAGTTAGGGGCATAAGTTGGATCTCGTTCGCTTCCTCGAGGTCAGGCATCTCGAACGCTGTGATCCGCAGTGGGTCCCTGCTGTCCTGCCGTATGTACCATGACGAGATGTTGACGATATTAGGGAGAAGGACGGGGCCAGAATACTCGCTGCTGATGGTGAGGCCCCGGCTGAGCGATGTGCAGTTTTGCGCCAGGGCGTCGATATCGGCTTGCGTGTGGATCGTGCTGAGTGTAGCGTTGCATTCTCGGGCTGAAGCCCCTATCAGCAATAATGTTAGTATAGTGGAAGAAACACGGTTGTAGTATATGCGGGCTTACATGTTGGCAGCAGCCCTACGGCTACTAGTAGCAGCCACATGATGAGCACAGGACGAGTTTGAAAAAGGAATCGCCAACGTTGCACGCGACATTCTCCTTATTTAAGAGCGCGTGCAAAGGCGCTTGGCAATGAAGACTGTACGCTCGTATTCGTCGGAGGGATTACAGATCGGGGATGGCCGGGCTGGGCGCAGGGTCCCTGGCGAGTCATGGCCGATTCCACGGGTCCGTCGTGGGGCGATCAGGAACCCCGAGATCCAGGGCGCAGGATTAGGGCGCAGAAAATGTAACGTTCCCCTGAGATCAACTCCACGGCGAGAAAGATAGAGGAATTCAACACGGGGCCTGCTCAAAGCCCAAGCTGGGGTTATCCCAAATCAACTCGTCAAACCACTTCAAGAAATCCTCACTGGTCATCGACTCCGGTAGGGGCGGGAGAACATCCGGAATGTACGATCCAAAGCTGGAGCCTACATCTGGCTCCACTTGACCGGTCGGGTTTGGGGCGTTCAATAAGAGATCGTCGCCTTGACTTTGGTTCCGCATGCTTCGCGACGGAAGACCATGGGTTAGGGTATCGTCAAGCAAGTTACCAATGACCTTGCTGATCTGAACGCAAACCTGAAGGTCCGGTCGCTTGGGCATCTTCTTGCGCTCGAAGTATGCCAGGAACACGCTTAGATCACGGACGATGTGCGGCACCGGTGTGGAGGTTGGCAGGGGCACTCCGCGTAGGGCTGCCTGGTGGAGCTCTGTTGCAAGGGTTCCAGCTCCGGGCAGGCAGTAATGGAGGAACTACGAACGTTAGCCAGATTATCGCTGGACGGAGGCAGCCTACCAGCCATGTCTGTCTTTCTCGGAGCTCGTGGTGGCCATGCTCTCGGTGGATAAAGTCAAGCGCACCCGACAGCAATTTGGTGGAGGTTTCTAAGAGAGGCGTGATCGTTATCTGGGCGTCTTGGAGGAGCATTCGTTCGATCATGAAGCCGCTGTAAAGATATCCCAGATGAACCACCAGAAATACCAGGCACGGCAGAGGATTTGACTTGGCCCACATGGCCTTGTCATAGCGATATTGCGGGGGTATGTTGCTGACGGCACGGTGGTATTCCTCATACAGCGCACTGCGTCGTTAGAGAGATCGCGCAAAGGAACTTCTGACGTACTGCAATTTTTCAGAGAACGAACTGTCCCTATTCCTCAGCGACAGCCGTAGAACCTTCTCCTGCAGGAGGGCGTGCTGATAGCGAAGTCGAAACAACGCTGTCTGCCAATGAGGCTGATCAAGTTGTTGCCAGCCATCAGGACCGAGACGTTGCAACGCCCGGTCCAGCTGAGCTCCGTTAAGGACCACCTCCTCATCAGTAAGCTGCAATGGCAGGCTTGTATCACAGAAGCTGCTGTCAATGCGAGGCGGCCTGCCGACCAACGTCGCCATGCTCTTGTCCTGGGCGACAACGATGGCAAAGACTCTTTTTCGAGTTTCCAAGATGTAAAAGGGAACATCGGGTGGGGACGAGACAAGGCGGTTGAATCCCATAATGAGTAGCTGTCCAACGAGCTCATTCAGGCCGTGGTACACAGTATCGCCTGCTGATGTTAGCTACGTGACTGCTAACGCTGCACGGGAGACGTACTTGCGTCACCAAAGAGAGTCCCCGACAGAATGATGTTCAGAAATCGCGACCAAATAGTCAGGTCATTGACATGGTCATATGCCTCGCACATCTGCAAGCAAGCTTTGCTGGCGCTGTACATCTCGCCCCCGAACATGAGCGGATCAAAGCCACTTGGTGCTTCGGTGTACAGGGTGGCAAGTCCAACGATACTGAATACTAGACTGATGAACTCAAGGCGGATATTCTCATTGGTGAAAGAGTTCAGGAACTCGAGTACCGTGCAGTTGGTTGTTACGGGTGGGAACCGCCGGCGTATGTTCTCCTTCGTTCTGGCAAGGATCTCGGCAAGCCCTCTGCCATCCTCGCTGCTTCTGAGCTCTTGAAGAAGCAATAAGACCGGATCCACTATTAGACCTCGCGGGATAGTCGTCAACCGAGTGCCATCATAGTACTGAAGCAATGCATGCTCAAGTTGCCGTGCTAGACTCATCACCTTCCGCAGCGCTTGCTCTACGCTCGCGAAATGGGCGTCTGCGTTGAGATGCGAGTATGGTCTCTGAGCTGAGCTGGTCGGAATTTTCGGACATAGAGATAGGGTGCTCGAGAAGCCCAGGTAGCCTGGAAGATATGAGCCTGACAACTTAGTTGTTCCTTCTGTCTTCTGTTTCAGCTTTGACTTGGTCGTTGGATGCGATGGTCCCCTGCTGACGGGCTGGCTCATGGGCTTCTCGGCAAGATAAGGCCGGAATCGCGTATTGGGGCGGGTCATCGGCGCTGGGTGATAGAAGCACTAGGATCATGTAAGTCGTTTTGCTTCACATCGTACCGAAATCAGGCATACCTTCTCCGACATGCCCTTAGCTTGGCATCGTCGACACACCGGCGTTGCATGGTCGCAGCGGACTTTAGATACGCGACAAGGCTCACAGGAGGTGGGACTCCCGTTTCTCCGATACATAGCAAGGACCTGATGAGATCCAGCGGGGATTTGATGTAAGCAGATGTATGCAGAATGCAAAGAGGAGAAAGAGAGTGGCCGGTGTTTGTACAGCTGAGCCACGTGATTTACTCCGATCGGTCGGAGTGGACCTTCCTAATCAGGTACTCCGACTCCGAAGCCCGAGTATACTATGGTAAGCAGTAGTAGTAGCAGTAGTGATATTTAACGCCCCGGGGATTACTAGGCGTACGCCTAATGTTTTAGACCTTTCTTAGGGTATGGGGGCGTGCCACTACTAAATAAGTAATTTATTTAAATAAGTTTATATATAAAAAGACTTTTTATTTTAAAAAGTAACTTTTACTAAAGCTTATAAGCTAGGTACCTATTTTTTACTTATTATTTTAATATATAGCTATTAGTAAGTATTATTTATTATATACTTAAAAGTTTAATTATAATATTTTATAGGGTTTAGCCCTTATATAAAAAAAATATATTAAGTAAACTAGTTATATTAAAAAAAGGTATTTAAAATAAAAAAAAAATATAATATAAAAAAGGATTATTTAATATTAAGCTAAATAATTTTAATATAAAAATTACTAGGGCGCGGGGGGCCCTAGCATAAGTAAATAAATTTATAAAAATTTATAATTTTAAGTAAAAATATAAAACCCTTAAGCTTTAATTTATAAAGGCATTTTAAGGCCTTAGCCTTAATTATTAATAATATTATAAAATACTAGGGCTATTATTAAAATTATTATTTAAAATAATAATAAAAAACTAGGTATTTAAGGCTTTTATTTTTTTTATAAAAATAAATAGGCCTAGTATTTTTATACTAAAAGTATTTATAATATTATTTAAAGTTTTTATATAAAAACCTAAGTACTAGCTAATAATATAAAGTTAAGTACTTTAATATAAGCTTAAGCTATAATTTAACTTAATAAGGCTTTAGCTTTATAAATTATTATTTATATTAGGTTAATAATTTTATAAAAATATTTTTTTATTACTTAGCTTAAGTAATTTAATATATTTATTTATATAAATTATATATCCCGCTTGTAGTAGGCCATGCCTTAAAAAAGTTAATATTAAAAAATTATACTTTTATAAAGGCTGCCTTATTAATTAGCTTATTAATTAGCTTATTATTCTTAATATTTATATAGCCAGGGGATTATTATAAGTAAATTATATATTAATTTATAAGCTAGTATAATACTTAAAAAACCTAATTTAAAAATAATAAGGGCTATTTACATATATATTAAATTACTAAAATATTATTAATATAAAGCTAGTAGCAAGGCACTTTTAAAAACTTTTTAATTATAGTTTTTAGTTTTTAAAATATATTAATAACTTTAATATTATATATATAAAATTAAATATTAATTATTAATAATCCCTGTGCTTAAAAATATTATTTATAATATATTATAAAGTTATAACTTATATAATAAACCCCTTAGTATATTTACTTAAAACTATTATTAAAAATTACTATTTTTATTATTAATAATACTTATTATTATTATTTAAACTTTTTTATAGCTAGCTTCTTAGCCTTGCTATTAATAGGATTTTTTAAGTATTTTTAAATATAATAAAAGTATGCTAGAACTAGCCTAAAAGTTTTTTAAAAAGGTACTTTTATTATTTATACTTTTATTTTAAGTTTTTAATATAAACTAGCGCCCTAGCCACGTAAGATTTTTAATAATATTATTTATATTACTAGTAAGTTTTAGTTATTAACTAGCCTTAGCCTTAGGGTAAAATATAATTATATTTTTTTAATATTATTATTATAAAAAAAAGCCTAATATTTTTAAAAAGGGTTATTATAAATATTATTTAAAAAATTAAAAATATATTATAAGTAGCTAATATTAAGGTTTTTTTAATAACTTTAACATGCTAGCCTAGCTAGGTACTAACTTTTAAATTTTATATATATTTTTTAAATTTAATTTTATTATTATACCACGCCTTTGTGCTATATAATAAGCTAAAAATAATATAAATAATAATTATTTTATAAAAAAAGTTTACAGGCAGGCTATATATTATATATATAAAATTATAAATATATTAAGTTATTACGCGGGCTTTAGCTACCTGCTTAGTAATATATTAATATTAAAAAAGCTATTTATTAAAAAAAATACCTAACTAGCATAGCGCGGGCTATTTTTAACCTAGTATTATAATAATAAAAGTAATTATTATCTAGTTATTAACTACTAATAAGAGTAATTTATTATACTATTTTTAGGTAATATATAATATTTTTAGTTTTTTAAATATAAAGGCTATTTTATTTTATTTCCCCTAGGCTAGTATGGTATAAATACTTTTTATTAAAAGTTTATAATTTATATAAAAAAAGTTACTTATATAATTAAAATAAAAGTTATTTATATAATTAAAGCATAAGATTAAGTTTATTAATAATAACTTAGTAATATATAATAAAAATAATATTAAAAAAAGGGGTAAGCCTTATAATAAATTATAATATATTAAGTATATTATTATTATAATAAATTTTAGGCGCACTTTTATACTTTATTTATTAAAAAAACTTATAATTAAGGCTAAAAGTATATAAGGCTAGCCTTGCTTTACTATTTATTAAAGTAAGTATTATAATAAAATAATATTAAAAATACCTAAAATATTTATAATAATTATAATAATCTTTTAGTTTTATAAAAGTGCTATTTTTATATTATAAGTAAAAAAGGCTATTAAATTTATAGCTAAGTGCTTAGGTAAAGTATTATATTATTATAGGCTTAGTACCCCTTATACTAGTATAATAAAAATAATATAACATGCTATAATTTATTTAAGTTTTTTTTTAATACTAAGAGTAGTGCTATAGGGCGCTAAAATTAAGGTAAAAACTTATTTTTTTTATTATTTTTTAAAAGTATTACTACTTTTATAAGCTTTTATAATAAAAAAAAGTATTTTAACTATAAATATTAATTATATAGCTTATATATAACCTGCCTAATATACTTTTAGCAAGTTTTTAAAATATAAATTATTACCTAGTCTACCCTAAAAAAGGTACTACTTATATTAATAATATTTTTTTAACCTTTTTTAATAAAATCTTTTTTAATTAATAAAAATATTTATTACCTTACTAATGCTCCAGCGCTAAAAAATTAAAGTTTAAATTATTATTTATATTAAAATATTTTAATATTACCTTTTATAAAATATTAGCCTTTTCCCGTGTGTTTTTAATTATTTTATTATTTATTAATAATAAAAAAGCTTTAAGCCTAGGCTTTAGCTTATACCATGCTATTATTTAATATAATTTTTAATTATTTTTAATATTATTAATTATTTTAGTTTAATACGCGCGCTTAGTTTTATAAATTATAATTAAAAATTACTTTTTTTATTTTAAAATAGGGTTTACTACCCAGGCTTAATAATTTTTTATATATTTAATTAATTATTAAGGGGTGCTATGGCTCCCTAGGTTAAGGTATTTATTAATTACTTATATAACTTTTATAATAATATTATTAAAAAATTTAATATATTAATTTAATACCTTTGCGTTCCTAAGTTTCCTAAACTAAAAAAAAAATATTATTTTATTTTTTATAAGCCTAGCTAGGTGCTTAAGCTTGTGATTTAATATATTATAATAATATTATTTTAATATTTTTTCCCGCGCCCTAATATTATAATAACTAAAATTTAATAATTAAAGTTATTATATAACTTAGGTATTACTAGCATGCAAGTAAAAAAAATATTAAAAAAAATTAAATTAAAAATATAGCTAGCTTTATATATAGCTAAACCTAGCTTATTAATATAATTAATATTATTATTAATAGCTTACCTAGTAATCTTACTACTATAATATAGGTTATTTATTTTAGGCTTAAAAATATTATAAGTAGTATTAAAATCCTTATTAATTATATAATTTAAGGTAGGGATTAATATAACTAGGTAATTAATTATTTTATAAATAATTAGTTTTTAATATATATTTAAAATTTTAATATTATTTATTATAAGTTATAGCATGTTTTAGCTTTATATTAAGTAATATTATTTAGCATATAATACTCCCCTTTTATAAATATAAATAAGCACTTTAGGGTGTTTTTTTAGCTAATTTTTATAATTATTTTAAATATTTACTAGCGTGTAGTATTTATATATTAAATAATTTTAAATTTTTATACCTGTAGTAATTTAAGGCTTTTAAATATAAGTAATATTATAGCCTTGCTTATAAGTTAATTATAAAATTATAATATAACTAGGTATAAACTTACTTATATTAATTTAATAAATAATAAAATCCTATTATTATTAGGTATTATTTTAATAGTAATTACTATAATTTTTTTAGTACTTTATTATTAAAGCTTAAAGGGGGATTTAATATTAACCTTTATTACCTAAGGTAAAAAAAGCATGCCCATGCTAGCTAGGGCAGGCAGGATTAATTTAATAAAAAATTACTTAAAATTTTAATTACTAGTAAAGGTGTTAAACCACGGGGTATAATAATTAGTAATTATTATAAAGCCTTATTTATTTATTTTTAGCTTTTTCACGGCGTGCTTTTAGGGGTTTTTTTAAAATAAAAATTACTTAGTTTTAGCTTAAAGCTAGGTATTAATATTAGCCTAGGCATGCATGTTTTAATATGAATAAGTATTATAATAACACATGCTATTAAGCTTTTTTTTAAATAAGTAAACTAGTTTCTTGTTTTTACACCTGGGGGCTATTAGGTAATTATTATATTTTATTAATTAAGGGCCTAGGTAATTTACATAGTATATAAAATTTTTATAATTTAAATTAATAAAACCTAGGTAGTTTATAGCTATTATACTATATTATATATAATATATTATATAATTATATTATATTAAATAATAGTATTTTTAGTAACTAGGGTTATACTAAAAAACTAGCTAGTATTTTTTAATAAGTTAATAATACTTACTTTAATTAAATAGTTGGGGACTTGGGCTGTTTTAAAAAGAATATTATTTAAATAATATATTTAATATTAGGGTTAGGCTTATATTTTAAAAAAATAAGCTTAATTAGCTTTAATTTAGTTTAGGCTATAATTTTATTTTAAATTAATTTTATAATATTTATTTTATTATTATTATATATTAAAATAGTATTAGGTACTTCTTGCATTACATAGTTATATTACTTTTAAAAAATATATATATTAATAATACCTAAAGTATAGTAAATTATATTAATTACTTTATTAATTATTAAAAGGTTTTTAATAAAAAAGTTATTAAAAATAATAGCCTAGCCCGTGTAAATAATATTAATTTTAAAAATAGCTATAGTTATAGTTAAGCCTAGCATGTACTTAATAAAGGCTTGTTAAATAATATATACTTTTAGGTATATTATTAATTTATTATTAAAAAGGGTAATTAGTATTTTATAATTATTTTATATTATTAAGGCTATGGTAAAGTTATTACGTGTTAATTAAGCTATTAAGTACCTAAAAGGGGCACCTTGCCTAGAATAATATTAATTAAAATAAATAAATTTATTTTAAAAGGGGTGGGTTAAGCCCTTAAATTTTTAAAAATTAAATTTATTCCCCCTTAAATAATAATTTTACTAAAAGTTATTATAATAATAGGTTAATTACACACGTGTAAAAAAATATAATTAATATTATTAATATTAATATAGCCCTTTAAAAAAATAAAGTATATAAACTTATTATAAATATTATAAGTAAAAGCTTTTTAATTTTAAGTTTTTTACCTAGTTATAAAGCTATTAATAATAATTATAAAACTTATAAAAACTTTATATTTAATACATGCTTAGTACTTTTACTTATTAAGTTAATTATAAAGGGTTTTTATTACTAAGCTAGGCTAAAAAGTTAATATATTATTATTTTTAGTAATAAAAAAAATAGGCTTGCTAGGGCCCTTTTTTTACCTTTTTATAATATAAAAGTTAAAAAAAATAGGGGGTTTTATAACCATATAAAGTTAGTTAAATTAATATCTATAAGTTAATTAAAAATACATGCCTTAGTTTTAGCTATTATACCGCGGGAAGTAATAAAAAAGGGAAAAAAAAGTTAAAAATAAAATTAAAATAATAAAAATATATATTTATAATAATTTTAAAGTGTCTAGAGCCTTATTTAAAGGTACCCCTAGATTGCTAAGAGTTGTAAAGGTGATATACTATGGTAAGCCCAATGCCTCAAAGCATGTTCCCGTGGAAGTCTCAGAGGTTGGTTATCTCTCGATCGTGCACCTTTTCTGCTCTGATGTTTATACAATGGGATATCTCTTTCATCTCGAATTCAGCCGTTGTGAACAGGCCGAGATCCAAGATGGAGGGAGAGACTTTAAGATATGCTCTATGACATTACTTCGCGGTATTCGAGACAAATTCTACACATGCTCGGATTGCAGATACGCTGCAGTGAGATGATCAGCTTGCTCTCAATCGAAGAGTTAGGGCTAGCCGGCCCCAGATGTCATGACGTCAGTCAACGGCCCCGACAATGCCCACAATTGGAATCCATCCAATACTTCAAGCCCAGTACATTGTAAGGAGCCTCACTAGCCATCCTCCTCCACTGCTTCACTTTTTGGCAATTGAAATAAAGCGGCTCAATTATCCGTCCCATCCAGTGCACTGGTTTCGCAATTTCTATCCACCTGCAGCGGAACATAAATTCCGCCGCCCATTCCGCCGTCCACCCATTTGTCATCCCCACTTCACCAGCATATAATTGATGCCAATCTCCCCGTTTCCACCCAAGGTCCAGCTCCAATTCTCCAAAACCAACCAACTCACCCAAACGCCATGTCCCACCTCCAATACTTCTCCTACCCGGGCGTCGGCGAACGCAACCGCCAAACCTTCAAATACAGCCAAGCCGTGCGCATTGGCGATCGAATCGAGTGCGCTGGACAGGGTACGCCTCTCATCCCATTCCCGCTAACCTTCTAACAAGGTGTGCTAGGCGGCTGGAACCGCGAAACGGGCGAAATCTACAAAGAGATCAACGCCCAGATCGATCAGGCGTTCGCGAACGTCGAGGCGAACCTTAGACATGCAGGCGGGGAGGGCTGGAGCCAGGTGTTCCGGGTCAATAGTTACCATGTGCCCATTAATGATGAGGCGCTGCAGGCTATGGTGCGGAACTTCAGGAAGTACGTGCCGGACCATGAGCCGATTTGGACGTGTGTGGGGGTTACGCGGTTGGGGGAGGATGATATGAGGGTTGAGATTGAGGTTGTGGCGCATGTGCCTAACTGAGTACATCGAGTATGTTGATATCAAATGAACAGTTTGGGACAGTATGGCAGAAGAATGTGTTGCGCGCACTTGGGGTGTAGAAGACGTATGAAAGTAGTTCTATGCCGAAGCGACTACTGGCCCCCGGATATATACCTGTTTGCAGCCCTGGAGTGGAACAAGTGGTGGTTTTGTATTATTATCAATTTGCATTATTCTTATTGGATGAAATAGGTAGAGGATATCTACTAAGCATTGTAAGCAGCTAGCAAGGCCAATGTAATTCGCGATCCATAATCAAGAATAGTAATCAATAATCCCGCCCCCGCAATGCCCAAATACCAACCATCTCCTCCTCCTGATTCAACTTAACCCTCACATACCCTGCCATCATCCCCCTCTCCCCTCTCGCACATCCAAGCTCCACAACCCACGAAGCAATGTCCCACCTCCTCTCCCCCACCGTCCTAGGCGACACCATCCCCCTCCGAAACCGCATCTGCATGGGCGCCATGACCCGCAACCGCTGCGTCGACAACGCAAAGCCCACACCCGCAACCGTGAAGCACTACGCCGAGCGCGCGGCAGACGGCGTCGGCCTGATCGTCGTCGAGGGCACATTCATCGCGCCGCATGGCGCCGAGTGGCCCAACGCGCCGATGATGTTCAACGAGGAGCACGCGGAAGCTTGGAAGAAAGTCACGGATGCGGTTCATCGCGTGGGCGGGAAGGTGTTTTTTCAGCCGTGGCATGCTGGTGCGTAGACCTACCCTCACGCACGGTGTCCACTTGTTGAGGCGATCGGGGCGGGACTGGGACTGGGACTGGGATGGGTGTGCTAATTGGATTGCTATGCTCGCTACGCTTTGTACAGGGCGGATCCAGAATGAGAATATGCCGATGCTGAAGCAGCACCAGCTCCCCGTTCTGGCGCCAAGCAGGGTCAAGGCGCCCGGAGGGAAGTATCGGTCGCTGGAGGGTGTTCCGGTGAGTTTACCGCCACTATAGGGTACCCTATGGTAGTTCGACACCAGCTGCCGTCCCCGGTGGAGAGACGACTGACACGGACGGGACAGGGCCACACAGAGAACATCACGGAGATCCAGGATCCGCAGGCTCTAGTCGAGCAGTACCGACGCTCCGTCGCGCTCGCGAAGAAGGCCGGATTCGACGGGGTCGAGCTGCTTTCGCAAGGGTGTGTGATGTTGCCAAAATCCATACCCTATCCCGCACCCTCCCGGACACCGAGGAGCCCTAGCACTAACAGCTCGCAGCGGCTACCTCCTGCACAACTTCCTCTGCAGCCACACGAACCTGCGCAGCGATTGCTACGGCGGCAGCGTGCCCAACCGCTGCCGCTTCCCGCTGCAAGTGCTCGACGCGATTATCTCCGTCTGGGGCGCGCGCCGCGTCGGCATCAAGATCTGCCCGGCGGACGACTACAACGACACCGCCGTATCCTACGCCGAGCTCACCGAGACATACACCTACTATATCGCGGAACTCATGAAGCGCGAGCTGGGCTACGTCACCCTCTGCCGCCGCGGCTGTGTCGTCCGTCGAACCCAAACCGGAGACGATTTCTTCATGGCCACGCCGCGGCCGCAGGGGAAGGAGTTGCCGGATGGGTATGACCCGCTCACCCAGTTTGGGGGCATGATCAACTATCCCGGGAGCAGGACGATGCTGATGGTGAATCATGAGTATACGCCGCAGGAGGCGGAGGGGTTGATTCAAGAGGGGAGAATCGACCTTGCGTGCTTTGCGAGGCCGTTTATCTACAACCCGGTGAGTACTCGGCTTTTGGTCTTACGATGGGTACAAGAACTGATTTCGTCTGCGTAGGACTTTGTCAGTCGGCTTAAGAGCGGGGAGGCCTTTGCTGTTAATGATCGCGGGGGAAAGGTGAATTATGGGCCTTTTGAGACGCCGGATCAGGATTATAATGATTGGCCGCGGGCTACTCCTACTGCTACTGCTACTGCTTGAGGTGAGGGTAAGAAGAGGGATCCGGTGCATGGATGCGTGAGATATAGAACATCAGTGGTCTCAAATTGGGATTCTAAAGTGCTTGTTGCGGCTGAGAACGAGCATGGGTAGCTCCTAGATGCAGGGAGGTTAGAAATCACGATACATATCCACGAGCCTCTCCTTCCAAGGTTCTCTAGCTGGATATGAATTCCACCTCGTTGCTCCACGTACTTTAGTTACATTCTAGAGTCTAAACTATGGTAATTACCGGAGGGAGACAGCCAAATATCCACAGCCCTATACGCTTTCGACAACCTTGTCCTCGAAGCAGATAGACGAACGAATATCAAACCTTCCATGTCCATCCCGATAAACCCAATCCCCCTTATTCCCAAAGTAGGTCGAGAACCACAGCTGCACCGAGTTCCAGGGGTAGACGAACCAGTTCTTCTCCGTTCCCTTATCGATGAAGTACTGCCACGATCAGTCTTGCTTCGCTCACAAAGGCATAAGGCAAGAGCTCGGGATAGGTAAACATACACTCCCACACTCGCTACTATGCACCGTCTCCCCGATTGCCTTGTGGAGTTTCACATCATACTCCGCCTCCCTATCTGCCCTCACTTCAACTGAAGCAGCCTGGCCAAGAAGAATCGGTTTGATCGCGTTCAGAACCATCTCAACTTGACTACCACTTCACGTCAGCACAGCCCTCACTCACACCCTGCGCCTCCAAAAAAAAGCCACGCACCTCTCAATAATCATAATCGTACTCGTATACACCCTCCCCGAATTCGGGCCAAGGATGTAAAAGAAGTTTGGGAAGTCGTGCATCGCAATGGACTTGTACGTTGCTTTGTGCCCGACCTCCTCCCAGGCCTGTTTCCTTGTAAGGCCATGCCGTCCGGTAATGGGGGTATCGTAGTGTGTTAGGTTGAAGCCTGTTGCGAGGAGGATTACATCGATGGGGATGTTGGTGCCGGATGTAGTGAGGATGCTGGTCGGCGTTATGGAGGAGATGCGGTCTGTTGTTAGGTGGACCTTCGGGGAGTGCAGGGCTGAGAGGTAGCCGCGGTCGAAGATGCGTCTCTACAGTGATTCAGTACGAGCTGTATTTCTTGGTCATTGACTTGCAGGTGGGAGGGAACATACCCTACACCCGAACTCGTATTTCGGGATCAATAAATCCCAGTATGATTCTGCTGCCGTCTTTAGGCAAGGTCTTGTAGGACATCAGAGGGATAAGTGGACATACCCGGGGCAGAGTGCTGCACGTATTGTTGGCTTCGCTTCTCCACAGACGCTCGGCCGATCTTGCCGAGTCTGTTGTTCTGGAAGCGGAACCAGGTGATCTCCATGTAGAGGAACAGAATGAGGCGGATGAGGTAGAGAAGCATCGGAAAGTGGCGGAGCACTGCTCGGTATGCTGGGGGGACTTGGTGGTTGTTTGCAGAAACGATATGATGGGGTGACTGGATCAAGCAATATCGGGTTAGGGTTAGCCGCGAGAATGTACATGGTAAGGCAGACGCACCCTCATAAACTGCGTGACGGACGCAGCCTCGTCAACTATAGCCGGTACCAACTGTGCAGCTGATGCTGTCCGGACCGTCAGCACTTCCACCACCATTGAAACAAGGTAGATAGGGCTGCTCACCCCCATTCCCAATAACAGCAACCCTCCTCCCCTTCAACTCAATCCCCTCCCTCCATCCAGCCGTATGCACAACCTCCCCCTTAAACCCCTCCAGCCCCGGAATCCGCGGTATCGCCGGATCAACCAGCCCCCCAACCGCCGAAATCAGCACCCGACACTCCTGGCGAAACACCGTCATGGTCCCCAAATCCCTCAACGTAACAACCCAGCTACCGCTCTTCTCCCTCCACTCCGCCCCAATCCACTCCGTGTTCCCCGTGAAATGCTCGTCGACGCGGTACTTCCTAGCTACAGTCGAAAGATACGACAGGATCTCGGCTTGCGGCGGGAACATCTGCGTGAAGTCTGGATTCGGCGCGAAGGAGTAGCTGTAGCAGAAGCCTGGGATGTCGACGGCGCAGCCGGGGTCTGAGCCTTGTTAGTACTATGGTAACTTCCAGTAGGTAGGTCGGTTGATCCATATGGGTGGTAGGGCTTACATGTATTCGCCCACCAGGTCCCGCCCATTCCGGGCTGGCGGTCGTAGATGGCGTAGTCGTTGAGCTGGAAGTCACGGGTTAAACGGCAGGCCATTGCGATGCCTGAGACGCCGCCGCCGATGATTATGACCCGGCAAGGGGGTTTCGAGGGCGTCATGGTTGAGTATTCGAGGTTCTGTCCCGTATACGGGCGAAATCGATGTGAATATCTCTCAGAGGTCTGCGCTATAAAGGACGAATGGGTATAGAAAGGGCCATGACTCAATTGCTGCATTCTTTAATGTAAGGCTTGATCTAAGATATTATATCCTTTTCTTGATGGTGCTGCCTTGCGGCCTATCTTCAAGCCAAGGGCTTCAGCCACGCCAACTGGGAAAAACTGCATGACGAAAACCCATCGGGCATACCGAGCCAGATTCTGAAACATCGGATCCATTCCGACTCCTCGACTCACTCAAAGCAAAGCTAAGCCACTCCTACCATGATCTGTATCCGAACCCAAGACACCCATCCCATGCATCCCAGCCCGACCATCCGAACGTGGCGTGCGTAGTTCCCCAATCCAACCAATCAGAGACCCTCGCTACGATATCCCTACAACGCTGGAACTGTTTCCCGATATCCGCGTGGTTCGTGGCGTTTCTTACGTGCATGTTTTTCGGGATTGCAGCCAGTAGGAATCCTCGATTCATGAACAGCCTGTTCTTCAGCCAGCCAGCCTCTTTGCAGCGGTCAGGTTTGAATCATGTAAGAACTGTAAGTATCAAATTGGGTAGACGGACAGCTGCATCCTTCGAATCTGCTTCTGAGTCCTTCAGCTCGGATTTGGCCGATCGTGCAGCCACGTCCTCTCCAAGTCTGCTCTTGAGTGACCGAGGCACGGTATGGCTTTAGTTATAGCGACCATTCCCTCGCCCAGATCTAGCGTTTGTTGAAGTCAACCACAGATTTATCCATTGAAGGCAGCAATCATGTTCACAGACGCAGCCCTCATCCTCCTCTACATCGGCCATCATGCCTCCATCCCAAACTTCTGGACAAGAGCCCTTCTGTCCCTCTTCATCCTAATTCTTCTCCTCGCTCTGATCACCCTAACAACAATGCTCCTCCGCGCTCTCCTCCCCCCACGCACCCTAACCCCCCTCTCCTCTCCCCAGCCTCTCTCCGTCCTAGGCAAACCCCTCCTCTTCCCCGTAACATTCAGTCATACGCGACTATCACCCATAAAAGACAAATTCGCCAACACGTTCCTCCTCCTCGGCGTCCCGGTCGGACTGCACGCAAGAATCGGAAACGTCCTCGCCATCGACGATGCCTCACTAACTCCGCTTGTCTCGCCGCCGCCTACGAACCAGTCCTTTTCCTGGCAAAAGGTCCTCGCGCATGCCAGCTGCTGGTTCAGCATCGATGCAGTCCGGATGTTGCACCGGGGTGACTACGGATTTGGTTTACGCGCGAAGCTGGATTCGTTTCTCAGGGAGCAGGTGCGTGCCTCATTTCCCACCCCCCGCCACCCCATAGTTTTAACACTCCGTCGAAGTGATCTAACGAATGCATGTAGGACGAAGACCCATCCCAATGGCCCCACGCCTACCTCCTCACGGTCCCCAAATTCCTCAGTTTCTCGCGCAACGTCGTGAGCTGGTGGTATCTGTACAACCGGCAACGTGAGCTCGATGCGCTGATACTCGAGATCAACAACTCGTACAACGAGAAGCGGAATGTCTTCCTGCGTCTAACACCAACGCCCGACAAGGCCAAGGCAGAGCCCAGTAGTGAACCAGTACGCCAACGTTGTGAGCAGAACGAAATCGAAGAAGAAGCAACGTACCTTGACAGCGACAACCTCATCACCTCATTACCCACCGCATCCAAGGCAAAATTCTACACAGGGACCTGGCGCAAACGGATCTTCGCCTCCCCCTTTGAAAAAGTCGACGGGCTCGTCTCGCAGCGCATGATGGATCCCTTGCGGCCGGAGTCTTGGAATCCAACCGCCTCATTCAGCAACATGACGACGCTGGACGAGGACGGTAAGCAAGTACGCATGGCGACGCGGTTAACATGTACACAGCCACCACTCGACCCGACAGATATGAGTCGGTGGGAATTAGCGTGCTTCTTGGTAAAGTGGAGTGTACCGGGCCTCTTCACGACGCTCGAGATCATCCTCAAGGCGCTGAGGATCAAGTTCTCCGGCAAGATGACGATGCATTCGAAGCCCCCTGTTAGGAGTGGGAGTGTGGGGAGGTATATCAGTGAACTGGAACTGTGCGTCCTCTACCTCCTATAACCGCTTCAAGCGAGAACGAGAACGATGCTGATATGTGTATTGGACAGGACGCTCGAGCCCTTCTTCGCCTCCTACCTAACCCACCTCATCACCAACCATTCCACTCCAATAAGCGTAACATACCTCGCATGCCGGTCCTACACAGCCGAAAAACACACCCTCCTCTCACCAACCGCTCGCAAGAGCCCGAACACTATACCTATTCGCAGCCTAACAATCGAACCCACAGACCCCGCATTCTACAGCCGGATCACAACCTACCCCGACATCAAGAGCGGACTGATCGCCGAGACGAAAATGACCGGCCACACAGCCGATCCAGCCGCAAGACCCCTGCTCGTGTCGGATCTGGATCTGCTGCTCGAGATCGTCGAGTCTTCGTTATCAATATCCCCGCCTCAGTCGGACACTGGGGACAAAGGGGAAGTCTTTGGATTTGGGCCGTTGATGGCTCAGTGGATCTTACGTCTATCTCGATGCTCCAGGTCGAGGTCGAGGTCGTTCATGGACGCTTTCGTCCTCTCCTCCACAGCAAACACGAATACGAATCGCTGCCTGGACCCAAATAGCAGAGGGCAGTATATCTCGACCATCCTGCGTCATTCCGCCGCGAGACGCGTCGCGTTCTCCTCGCAGCGCCTGCTAGGGATCTATACCTTGATATGCGCATGCCTCCTCCGCTGGACGCTCCTGCACGGCCTGTTCTCCATCTCACGGAGCTGTATTCCGCCTCTGCCTCTCTCACTTCTCAGGCTGCATTTCCCAGGGACACAGATGAGTCCCGCTTGGGCGCCATGGACGCTCGTGATACCCGTGTATTTCGCGCTCCTGGGCTTGGGTTCTGGACTGGTGCGGTTCGTACTGCGGTCGTTGTGAGATTCATGGGAGAGACCTCGATCTCTTGATATTCCTTCCGCGTAAGGAGGGCGAAAGGGTTGGTAGTTGGAGCGGTGTGATTGACCATGGTGGGTGTATATGTATCAACACGGGGAATCGAGATATCTTGCGAAGAGCAGAAGCGGCAACTGCATTGGAGAAAGCCCGGAAAACGAATAAACTTTAGCAGCGATCTGTTAGCTTGTCCAACTAGGCTATAAAGACCAATTGGCTATATAGCCCGTCCTTAGCCTCCAACAAGATCAACGGTGTTCGAAAGAACCTTGGATAGGTGCCCCATGCACAGAAATATATATTTACACACTAGAGGAGCCAAATCCTCAGCATATAGCAAGCACCTACACGGTCGCAAAACAATACTCTACAAAACACAAGAAACTCAAGGTAGTCAAAATATCAATATATTATCCATACAGATAAGCATTCTGCTAACTAGGTCATCTCATCATCATTTACTCATCCGAGTCCAGTGCAAAGCGGCTCAAGAACTTGAACACGGTCAGACCCTCCTCCAGTTCGCTGATGAAGTCCTCGCCGACGCTGTCGGCAACGAAGACACCCTCTCCACTGGTGTCGATGCCAGCGTTCTCCAGAGCGGTGGAGCCGCTGCCGAGAGCAGCGACGGGCTTACCGAAGCGGAAGGCGTCGACAAGGATCTCAAGAGGGCGACCGGCGGGGTACAGAGTCGAGCTGGGGTTGGCGGCAGACTTGGCGCCGAAGAGCTTCTCGGTGCCAGGGGCGACAACGACGGCGTCAAACTGGATGGCGTCGGAGGCGGTGTAGGTCTGGTTGACGCCGGTCTCGAAACGCTCAGCGACAACGACAACGTCGACGCTGTCGTTGGAAAGCTCGGCCTTGAGCGCGGTGGCGGCGCTGAAAGAGCCCTCGGCGTCGACGGAAGCCAGAACGGCGATCTTCAATCCGGCCAAGCTTGTGAGTCTGTGACCAAAGCCACCAATGTTGACGGTGGTGTTATCGTGGTAGTAGGTGTTGTCGGGCTCGGGAGCCTCAATACCAAGCGCAGTGGCGACGCGAGTGGCGAGGTCGTTGGAGATACGGTTGAGCTGGATAATGACGTTGTTCTTCACGACGTCGCTCTGCACGCCGGCCTGCTCGAAGCGGATGGCGTTGACGACGAACTGCTTCTCGGCGGGAATGAGGGAGTTCCAGAACAGACGAGGCTGCGACCAGACGTCCTCGAAGCTCGAGCTCTTGACGCGGACAAGGCTGCCGCTAGCAGTACGGTCAGGCGCAGTGAAGAATCCACGGCCGGCGGTCTGGTTGGCCTGCTTGAGGGTGCTGCCCTTGAGGGTGTTGGGGCTGTACGCGTCAGGGTTCAGAGGAATGAACATCTGCCCGGCACCGTCACGGTTGTTGTTGTGGATGGGAACGCGGGGCTGGTTGATGGGCAGCTGTTCAAAGTTGGGGCCGCCGTGGCGGTTGAGCTGGGTGTCGAGGTAACTGAAGAGGCGGCCCTGGAGGAGAGGGTCCTCGGTGAAGTCGACACCACGGACGATGTGGCCGGGTTGGAACTGTTGCCGTTAGAAGTGTCGAGTAAAATCGCGGATCAACGTACCATAACCTGCTCAGTCTCGGCAAAGTAGTTGCGAGGGTTGCGGTTGAGAGTCATCTTGCCGATGGGGGTCAACGGGACGTACTCCTCGGGGATGATCTTGGTGGGGTCAAGGAGGTCGAAGCCCCAGCGCTGTTGGTCTTCCTCGTCGACGATTTGCACGTTGAGCTTTCTGGTCAGCATACATCACCACCTCTAAAGAATCAGACGTACCTCCCACTCGGGGTAGCGGCCGGCGTCAATGGCCTCGAACAAGTCCTGGCGCAGGAAGTCGGGGTTCTTCCCAGAGACCTGCTGGGCCTCCTCCCAGACCATACTGGCCACACCCTGCAGGGTCTTCCAGTGGAACTTGACGAGCTTGCTGGATCCATCATCGGTCACGAAGCGGAAGGTGTGCACACCAAAGCCATCAACGTGACGGAACGAGCGGGGAATACCGTGACCGGCCATGGCCCAGAGAAGGGTGTGGAGAGCGGAGGGCTGCTGGCTGAAGAAGTCCCAGGCAGAGTCATGGTTGGTGGCGGCCTGAGGGATCTCGCGGTCTTGCTTGGGCTTAACGGCGTGGATCAAGTCGGGGAACTGGATGGCATCCTGGATGAAGAAGACAGGGATGTTGTTGCCGACGATGTCGAAGTTGCCCTCGTCGGTGTACAAGCGGGTCGCGAAACCGTGGACGTCGCGCGCGAGGTCGGAGCTCCCGCGGCTACCGGCGACGGTCGAGAAACGGACGAAGACCGGGGTTTCTTTGCCTTCTGCGGAGAGGAAGGAGGCGGCAGTGATGTTGGAGTAGTCGCCGTACGAGGTGAAGACACCGTGGGCACCTGCACCGCGAGCATGAACAGCGCGCTCGGGGACCTAGCCATTAGTGACGCGTTAGCGACGCTCAATTGACTCGGAAGACGAGAAGACAATCAACTTACACGCTCATGGTCGAATCGCTGGATCTTCTGACGGAAGATAAAGTCCTCGAGCAGGGTAGCGCCGCGCTCGCCAGCCTTGAGACTCTGCTGGTCCTCAATTGGGCCACCGACATCCGTCGTCAGGTAGACATCGGTGTCGTCGAGGTAGTAGTCGGACAGAAACTCCTCAGTCGCCTCCGTCGCATCGGGGTTCGTATCGCGACGGCCCAGCTCACCAGTCATATAAGGACAGACGGCATTGGCGACGCCAACCAGGCCGACCAGGCCGAGAGCTCGCATGATGAAGATAAGGATAGAGGAGAGGGAAGGGATGAGAATGCAGGAGGAGTCGGAGTCGAAGAAGGGAGCTGCATCCCTAGCGTAGGCCAGGACAGCCGGGTGTATTTATACAGGAGCTGGAGAGCGGCGATCGCCTCTGCAGGAACATGCTTGCTTGCCCTTGGGTAGAGGCCCACCGGGAAGGCACGTCGCTGGGCACAGCTTAGTTCAGCAGCAAGGTCTGGAAGGCGCAAACGAATGGCCGGGAATAGTTTCTGATTATTGAGGCTTCTCCACGGCTTCACCCACAGTACGTCACAGCTGTTAACCAGAAACGGGCAAAGGGGGCTCGGGGCGATGTCTCCTCGTGGTTAAGCAAACGCATGCCGAGCAGGCGATCCTCTTGGCCATCAGTAATTGTGGTCTGATGAGTGGTTGGCACTGGGAGCAGTTGTAGAGGTCTCGACCAGAGTGCTTGGTAATAACACAGAGAAGAATGAGAAGGAGAAGAGTCCACCGAGTGGCCGGGGCTTGGCATCAGGAGACTCGCCATGGCCAAGGCACCGATTCCCGCGCGCTATTGGTGTGACCGACTGTGTGATTGCGCTGATTGTGTGACTGAACGGAATTCTCCCTGCAAGCTGAGCATCAGCCAATACCCCAGCAATAGCTCGTCGTACAATTCCCTGATTGCTGGCAAGTAAGCCGCCCAACACGAGGTCTAAGAATAGTCTACGGCTTGCTACAGAGGAGAATCCCGGCTACTATGCTGACCTCCCACAGACGGTTGTTCGGCCGAAGCGAGATAACAAATTAGATCGGCAGGAGCTTTACTCTTACTGTGCTCCGGCCGTTGACGTTGAAGCTTCCGGGGTGCATCGTGCAGCATACAGATTACAGAATCAAATCTGAGACTGATCGACAGCGACGAGACGCGTGGATTCTGGAATTAATCTGACCGATGCAAAACTGGGGAAGCACGTCCTGTTGGAAATTAGTCAAGCGCTCAATCAGATGGCCTGCAAAGGCTGCTTTATAAGTTCGACTCTTCGCCCTCGTTCGATTTGCAATCCTCAACCGCCGTTGGCCCGCTGTGGAGCGTGGCGGAATAACACCCAAACGCCCGGCTATACGCAAATTACGCCACCAACAACTCAATCCGCGATAAGGTATGCTGAAGATAATCTTAATCTAAGATGTCTTCTATTCTACGCGATGTCTATCTTACAAAAGAGGCACTCGCTTGATGCGTCGCTGTGCCCTGCCCGAGTTGGGCCCGAGAATCGCCCACTCGGCCACGGTCGCGCCAACCTGATCGTCTCCATCCGCAAGGGCCTGGTTCCCTGATATTACCAATGTCGCGTACCGCCCAACCGGAACCTGCCCTTCGAGTTGAATTGTGGTGCTATTTCCGACCGGGATTTGGATCTTATCCAAGTCCGTGCCCTCTGGGTCGTACGGCCCAGACTGCTCGATATTGGTCAGGTTCGCTACAATCCGAACGTTCGGTCCTGGGGAGCTCAACGCCGCCACGGGGTCCTGCAGGGGCACATCGTGGAACATCACACTTGCATTGATAGGGGGTGCCGCCGCCCAATCAAAGTGGAATCCAGATGCGACTGTGAGCGATCGATCCATCGTGTAGCCCACGTCGACTGTGACAGAACTGGCGTTGGAAGAGCTTGGCTGCCAGCGCGTCGAGGTCGCACCGTCGACGACCGAAATCGGGAATTGGCCTTGCTCAAAGTCATCGCTCGAGAAGACTGGGCTGCACTGGATGAGATTGTCCTCGATCGTGTTGATCGTACCAATCTGTCGGTTGGGAACCGTAAGGCGTCCGTGTGCAGGCAGGCGGTACAACGTTGCATTGTCTGCTAGACCAACATACACAGGAATGGAGGCGTTTGCAAACCGGCGATCGGCAGTGTCCAGTGGCTCGCTCTGCGCGCGCTGGATCACAGTATGAGTGTAGTTGGACTGGGCTGAGATTGGCCATCCGCGCCAGTAGAAGGTCCGGTACTTCACATACGGAATTTGCGGCGGCAGGTTCGGTTCAATATGGATGGAATCATCGGGAAGCAATCGAAGGCCAAGATAGCCGAAGAGGACGGCTTGATTGGCGCCGCCGTGACCGGTCAGGAACGGGTACGCCGGGTGGGTGCCTCCGTTTATGCTGGCGTTATCCAACATCTGCTCCGACAATTGGAAGAAGGGCGCTCGCGCATACGGAGCATACGAGTACTGATGGTAGGTGTACGCTGAGCATCCAGATGGCGAAACGGCACCCGCGACAATGGAGAAGATAGCCCAGGTCATCGCCGGGCCGTCGGCAGACTGTCGATTAGCATAGTAGTCCAGATCAGTCAATGCCGTTTCCGCGGTGTAGTTGTCGTAGACTAAAGGATACGTAACGAGAACGATATCAGCCTGTTTGACTACGGCGGTGGCGTTCATTGTCGTGTACTCCAGTGTCACCCCATTCTCCCGCAACATCAGGACATTGTCCGAGATCTCCGACCATGTCTCGTTCGGGTCAAGGCCGAACTGCTGGCGGAATTCATTGGCGTACACGAGCGTCTCGGAAATCATCGGCATAGTGAACCCACCGGCATCGATGTGGTTTGCATATTCATCCTGAACTGTTAGCAGCGTGCATGATAAAGTGGCGCTGACTTACAGGATCCGTCATGTTGGTCAAGGTCCAGTAACTCCCGTTGCGCTCCACAATGCTCCCATACAACGCGGCAACCGAATCGTAAATCGGAAAGTGCTCTTCTCGGAATGTCTCGGTATCGCCGCTCGTCACCCATTGATAGATCAGTGAGAGCCCAATGTCGCCGTTCAGATGGTACTGGTAGTCCCAGCAAGCTCCGGTGCCCGTGCAGTTACCGAAGCGACCGCTTGTCCATGGGTAGATCGCAGCCGACGGGTCGATGTAGGTCTGATTCTTGGACCCGGTGTAGGTCGTCTCGATGTTCTTCTGCGCCTGCGGGTACATCTTTGTTCTAAAATTTGTCACAGCCTGGGCAGCCTCCGGGTGAGAAGCGACGAGCCCGGGCTGCATCCAAACATCCGCATCCCAGAAGATCATACCACCGTACGAATCAGAGACCAGGCCACCGACCGAAAAGCTGTTATCATTGAGAGATGCATTGGGCAGGAGACGGATAGCATTCTTCCCGACCGTGTTTTGCAGTAGGTAATAGGTATTGGCAACTGCGATGATGGCCGAGTTGATAATGTTCTCGTCTTCTGGGAGCTTTCCGGTCCGAGGGTCTACGTATCGATCGACGGAATCTTCATGCATGATGTTTGCCCATTCCTGGACATGGGATCTCAAAGAACGTTCGTACCCAGCAGTAAGAGCATCAGATACCGCTCGTTTTGCGGTCGCCTGAGGATCCGAGAATGCGTCTGTGGACGCAGCACCGACGAACTTGGTAACTCGGACTTTCTCATTGGCGACAAAATTGACGTCGAACGCTTGGGCGATAGACGACTCGTTGGTGCTCACATAAGACTTGCCATGTACGCGGTTGCGAGAGGAAAGATCTACATGTTCAGACGCAGTGATGTTTGCATACAGATAGGCAGCAACATCCGGGATGCCCCATGGTCGGACCGCAGAATATATAGCGCCGTCATCTTCCCCGGACTCCACAAAATCCGTCCGAACAGCAGAATACCCATCCAAGACATTAACAATTGTCGCTTGGATATCTTGCGACGGTACAATCTCCAGATCCACAATAGCCTGGTTGATATTCAACTTGTTAGCAAAAAGCCGATACGTGATCGCGTAGGATCCCTTATCGCCCACTGGCCTCCAAGTATACGACCACGAAAGAACACCCGCTTTGAAATCGTAGCTAGACTCAAAATCGCTGAGCGTTTCGTTGTCCACCGTCGAATCAAGGTAATCGTCGTCGCCGATGTCTAGAATGAGGCCGCTCCAGTGAGGTACGCCACTAATGACGCTTTCGCCCCCATATTGGTTCATCCACGGGAAGTTTGACCCGTTAGTTTCCGCCTGCAAATCGTAGAATCCGGATATCGTAGCGAAGGACTGCCGTCGCGAATACAGCGGCCAGCCGTTGATCACATCACCAGCGACTGGCAGGTCGAGCTCGAAGAATGGGCCGACGCTGGAGACACTAATGCCGAAGTAGCCGTTAGCGACCGAGCCGCGAGATTGGTAATGTCCTTGATCGAGAATGCTCGTCGTCAGAACCCATTGGTCTTCATCCCATATTACTCCCGGAAACATCGTCTCGTAGGTGTTGTTGGACGGTCTGGACGCATGGCTCCCGCAGTGGTTCCTCACGCAATTTTCCACCCGCGCGTCATCGTGCGAAGAGGCCCGACCTCCGGTAGGCAGCAGCAGGAAAGGCAATAATGTAAAGACTGGCTAGAGGACACATTAGTCGCGACATGGAGATTGTAGAAGCAGCCGTACCTTGAAGCGCATCTTGACGCTTCTAGGAACGCAGAAACGCAGAAAAAAATAGACGAGGAGGATATCAGCTCGCCGTGAGGCAGCGAGAAATCGAGAAACGCTCGCTAATAAATAATTTCGCACCAAGACAGAGTGGCAACCAAGCTCATGGCATCTCCAGCATCATATCCAAGACGAGCAAGTTGAAAGAAGATCTCTCGGCGCTGACGGGCGCCCAGACCCCAGGTCCCCGCAAATTCTGGAGATGCCGGAAATCCGATGCGACCTCACTGACTCACTGACGTTTGTTTCCCTTCTGGACCCGTGATCATTCCTTGACCTGCCGCAAAGAAAACGCATGAATTATGATTGGAAGGGAAATTATGGGACAGCCACGCGGGAGCGCCCAGCTTCATCGCGATTTGGCTGCCGTTGACGTTATGATCTAACGGTTGACCATTCCGCAGCACTCGACGCGTGGTATAGTTTCCGGAATTCACGGGAAACCAAACAAGGAACGGTACGCCTGGTCAGCTGGCCTGCGTTGACGAAGTGGAGGTTCGTGGAAAGACTAGAAAACAATGTTCCACAATTAGCCCGATAATTCAGCGTCATTCGGAGTCGGAGTGGGACAGACCACGAAACTTTAAGCTTCATTCCGGGGAGAAAATCAGACCTGGAGAGGCCGACCAACATTCTGTAGGTACAGTAGTAAAGCTCCTTTTCCCGGGGGTTGGACGACGTTGGCAGGCTTGACCAAGGCGCTGAACTTGTCTGAGCTTTCGGCGGCTGGTGGCGCAGGGAAATAAAACTGGAAACTGCGGGGAGACCGGTGTCAAAGGGATACTTTGGTTCGTTCAGAAAATGGGATCCCGATGACGGCGAGCGAGATGACGGAGATGTGATGGAGATCCGACTGGGGATCTGAAGCTGGAGGCCCGCGGGGAAAGAAGTTGGCAGCCTCGGCCCTCAGGCAGCACATCGCCGGCGATCGGTCACCCAGAAGAAAACCAAGTCAACAACGCTCTTTCCCAGCCTCGCCCACAATGGCCAAACAAGCCTTTTGCCGGGCGACTTGTCAAATTTCATTCTAGCTGATGATCCATCCTTTCAAGAAGCTGACCACCACCACGATAGGGAAGTCATTTTTGACCGTGACCATTTTCCTGCCCCGCTACGGCAGATCCCTGAAATGGGCTGTGCACCTCCATACGGGGAGGGGAGCCTCTGCCATTTACAAAGATAGCTTCTACGGCTACTCCTTCGACCTGGGGACCCTTATCGAATCGTTCCGCGTCGGCGAGATCGAATACCTGTCGTCGTGCCAGTCAGAGTCGGCGAGGCATGAGTGGACACTAAAACGCTTATTTCGAATTACCAGGATTACATGATGGAAGTGCAGGAAGCTCTGGAAGCTCTGGAGCAGAAGGCAGACTTGGAGGATAACGAGATGACGACCTGGATTACGCAGAAATCAAACGCTTTCTACGCCAGAAACGAGTTACAATGATGTGACAACAGCGACTACTTGTCAAGCAAGGAACGAGTCGCGGATTATTCCGTACTCTGTGGAAGAGCGTTGTCTTCTACATTTCTCTGCGTCAGAGTTACATCGTCACGAGGTCCTGTCTCACTGTTGGCATGATATGATTTGCGGACTATTGCATGACAAGTCCTTTTAGCTAACAGATAGCACGATCCGTGCACCTCACGAAGACCGCATGCGCCTCCATGCTTCCTTCCGCAGCGCAATGGCCGTGTCTCGTGTTCGTTCCATGGCGGACTGGTTTTCAATCGCTCGACGCAGGAGAAAATGAAGGCACTCCTCCAGTGATCCCCACGCAAGGCACTTGAAACCCCCTGGCAGCGCAACCTCGAGGGCCTTGACCTCGTCGACGTCGTTCGAATTGTATGCAAGCAACTCGCAGCTTAGCTCGTCTGCCATTCCCTGCAGCTGCACCAACTCGACAGGAATTGTCGGAAACCTGTTCTGCAGCCGGTGTCGCGACAGCGAATAGGCCTTTCGCACGCTTTCCGCGTTATGCGACGCAACAAACAACTCGACTTTGGGAAATACGTGCGATTCGCCCGTGGGATACTGTCGCGTGAGCAAGGATTGTACAATGTGGTTGTAGTTGGCATCTGTCTCGGCTTTGGTGTCATGGATTCGCGACCGATAATCGTGGGCGATGTAGGCACCTCGAACCAGCTTGATCCCAAGCGCCCATCCTTCTGTTTGTGCCAGTTTAAGGTGCCGGCTAACGTTCTCCGTCGATGCCTTGAGATACGCCTGGATGGTGTTGAAGACGACCACCTTGTCCTGGTGGTTGAATTGCCTCATTAAATCAATAGTCCAGTTGTCAATGGCCGATTGGAAAACCTGCTGCTCTGCATCGATCCATAGCCGTGATCCCTGCGCCGCAGCCGTTGCACAGATCTCAAGAATCGCTGCCTGCATTCGCGGTGGTGGGATCGGATCGCCTCGAGTGAGAGCATCGACCGCACTTGGGCCCGCTCCGGTGAACCTATCAACTGAGCTTTTGTCTTTGAAACGGATGAAGTACGTACTTGACGTTCATGCAGTCGCCAACTCCGATCATTCTGAGCGTTCGCAGATTACCGTCCTTCCATTCATCGACGGCACGGTCTAGCGCTTCCTGCTTCGCATCTTCGGGTGTCGCCGGATCTTTAACGTCAATCTGTGCCACGGACTCGCGGGCGTACCCCAGGGTCACTCCCTTATATCCCAAGGCTTTCATCTTCTGGACTGACTGGCGGACCTCTGCTTCGTTCTCTCCGGCGCAAAAGTGGTTGTAGATTGTCGTGCGCAGGAGGTGGCGCATAACTGGATTTCTCGACGGATGAATCAACGAGGACTTTGAATCAATCACATACTTGAGCAATCCCAGACACGGCCTGAGCAGCGGCGACGACATCAAGGAAGTGAAGAACACGGAGTAGATGAGGCTCTTTGTCGGCAAGACCGCCAAGGGCGATACTTTGGCAGACGGCGTGCGATGTAGGACGACATGGTTCGTAGTTGACGAACTAGATGAGCGCCTTAGTCCGGTACAAACTACTATCGGGACTTTCTGCCATAAGATTTTGGAGTGCATTTCGCTGATTGCTGCAGACTTGAAGCAGGACGATGTCACGTTGTTTAAGTACCTATCTCCAAGTGAGGGGTTCATTCGCTAAGCCACTACATACGACCTCGCCCTGCAGCCACAGCGTACCCCGCGATACCGATCCCCGATCTGGTTGCCCGACTTGAGCAAACACTTATTTTGGAGTACCTAGGTACCGACCGGCCCGGTTTCCCCATCCTTGCCGCACAGGCACTGTGTAGCATTCATTCGTCATCGATCGGCTCTCCCACCTTCAACATTCCCTCTCCCACCGTCAACATTGCCTCGGCAAACAGTGCCCTGATACCACTCTTCTCCAATTGCAGCATTCCGCGAGCAGTAGGCCTTGAGTTGTCGGAAATAACATCTCTCAGCCCTCCTGGGTGAACTCCATGTCTCAAAAGTCCCCCCAGTCCCTCCAGCACCTGCGCGAACATCTCCTTCATCTCGTTCCTGCTCATGCCCCTAGCCACGCACGCGTCCAGGATCCCATCAAGGGGAAGCGTGAACATAGCCATCGAGGATCTGACTGTCGTGGTCACGGTGTCAAACTCAAGATACGACATGTAGCTGACTTTGCCGACCTGCTCAAAGATCCATGTCACCATGCCGCCACGTCCCTCGCACGCGCTATTATCCTTGATAATAGTCGTAGACTTTCGCACTAACACGGCATCGTTCGGTCTTGCCTCCACGAACGTTGGCCATCCATTCCCCTTACTACGATAAGCGGCGGGGATGTCTGTTGGTAGGCCTCCATTCACAATACTAATCACCAACTTCCCCTTCAAAGCGTCCACCACTTCCTGGTATTTATCATCGAGGTCATCCAAATCGTCTTCGTGACAAGCGAAAAGAACAATGTCTGCTTGCTGCATGCAGTAGATTTGCTCTTCCGCAAAGACCGTAACTCTGTTTTTGTCCACTTCGTGCTGGGCTCGAAGTCTCTCTGCGGAGGCAAAAGTTTTGAAGCTGACGACGAAACGGGTGATCCTTGCTGGGCCTCCTCCCGAGCGACTAACAGCTTGGGGAGACGTTGCGTCTAGGAGGGCGCTGAGGATAGCGGAGCCGACCTTTCCTTCGTGCTGTTAGCCTGAAATGAGAGCCATCATGGGGAATAAGAACCCACAGCCTATGAAGGCAAGCGTAGTCTCTTTGGAACTCATCCTGAAGAGCGGCTGGACGATTCAAAAGGTTGAACTAGCTTGTCGAGATAAAAGTTGAGCGGAAAAATAAATGGGTTGGAGCAACGGAGAAGGTCGAAATGTATTAGCAAAGAGATTGTCGCTTAGGGAAGGGGTGATGCCAGAGGAGGGGCAAAGAAAGGTTTGAAATGAAAGAAGAATAACACATCTGGCTTACCACAGGAACATGCAATCAGACCTCAATCAAACAAAACACAAAAGACACCACGACATACGTCCACCAAATCAGCCAGACCGCCCATGGCTTCTGTCCCCGGCAAATGCATCATACAAGCTTGACTCATCTTCAGCCCTCAAACGCCTGATCCCATCGACTGTTGCCTTTGCCAAAGTTTCCCTCACCCCTTTTTTCTCGAGCGCCCACCTATCCCTATCCGCCCATATCCCCGGCGTCGAGACATTTTCATTCAGCAGAACAGGGCTCATTCCACGATCGAGCAAGTGAACCATTCCCTTCAGCATCTGTTTTCCGATCTGGAGCGCCTCATTTCTTCCAAGTCCTTCAGCCACACATCCATCAATAATCCCTTGAAATGCCGTCGCCGCCAATCCCATCGAACCGCTGGCCAGCATTGCCGCTGCGTCAAACTCGTCCGGAGGCACTATCTCGACCTCCCCTATCAATTCGAAGAGCCATATTACCTGGTCGTTCCGATCCAGGCGTTCCTCATTTCCGCCCCTGTCGTTTGGATGGCTCTCGATGACGGTCATGCACTTGCCCACCTTAGCCGCAATGTTCGGCCTCGCCCTGATTACCTCTGGCATATGCAGATGCCAGCCCCGACCCTTCAGGATATAACGTTGGATATCCTGCACCGAGACTCCATGCAGAAGACTAACAACCGTTGTGAGAGGGACTGTGGACTCCAAGTCGTACTTCTGCAAGACCGTTTCTGCCTTGGAAGGTGGGCACGCGAGGATCACTACCCGGGCCCTGGTAAACAACGACGATCTCATCTCTTCCTCGCTTAGAAATATGATCATGTTTCGGGCTTCCGGTCGGTCGAACGTCTGTTCAAGTCGGTCTGCGGATTCTTTCGTCCTTGTGACAACGTAGAAATGGAGGTGGCTTTCGGGAGAGTCGTCCGGGGCATTGCGGGCTATTCGTAAGAGACCTGCGAGTATTGCGCGGCCGATTGTCCCTTTAACCCCTCTTGTTAGCGACATCGCATCGCACGGAGTAAAGGTACAGGTATGCTTCGGGACGGGACTCACCGCATCCAATGATGGCAATGACTCTGCCATCTGGGTCAATCAGGGAAGGGTCAACTGGGGAACTTGATCCAGAGCCTGACATGTCGGAATCTGACATGCTGGACACGTTGGCGAAGTTGTTCCGAATCGCGGCGCTGTTTGGTGGGGGTGAGGTAGGTGATGCGACTAGATCTTGTCTCGCGGGATTAAGATAGAGCCGGGAGTTTGCTTTCATTCGAGATGTCGAAAGAGTAGAGTGGCAAAGAATGGGCTGTAAAAGGTGGAAGGAGGTTTGGGGAGTTTCCCACTGGAGGTGCACTTGCTCACTTTACCACAACATCACCAGGACAACATGAAGGACAACCAACCCCATTATCATCACAGCCACCAAGGCCTCTTCTAACCTGGATCATCATCTTTATTCTGTGACACAGTGCCCTTTTATTTGTTCTGGTGAGTTTTGCCTTTGCATTCCCTTCATCAAGACGCCACTCTCTCTGCTCCGTTGCCGGAAGGAAACGGGGAAAGTTTCATTCGCGATTTTGAGCTGATCATTGCAACCAACGGTCCAACTGAAAGACAGCTACATGCTTCTTCCGGTCGCGAAGACCCCTCCGGATGTCAGTTCGACTGGACGGTGGGTATCTTGCCTGGCAAAGAAAAACCCCTTGTTTCTAAACAGTGAAGGACGTTGAGCTAAATCTCCCCTACCTTGTCAATTGCCAACCATCGCGAAAAGCCACCGCAAAGGCTCATCCGCATGCTTAGGGACAACAAGACAATTGCTTCCCCCAACAACCTGCAACCCTCTCTCAGCACAAGACACAGCGGTTACAATAATCGGCGGCGGATATCCTGTTTTGCTGGGCCAGCCCGGGTCAATCAACGAATCCATCTGCCAGGAATCCTTGCCTTCCAACAGGCTGACGGCCAGCTTGTCGAAGAGATACCCGCGAACGTCATACTCCTCGCTCAGGAGGTTGCTGGCCAGAAGACGGGAACGCCAAGAACACGACGTCCGATATTTCCATCGCAACCACGTTCGTTTTGCGCCGCCGCTGGCAAAGACTGAGGTGACAGTGAAAGGTGAGTGGAATGGGAAGAAGATGGATGGTTGATTGAGGGGTATCCAAGCCACGGCGTGAGGCTGACAGCGGGGTAAGTGACATATCCCAGGGTGATTTTGGAAGCAGGCGCAGCCTTTCCTGAATATCTGATTGACTGAACGCTGTTGTCTCAGCCGCATCATTGTTAGCGTGGATCCAATAAAACCCGGACACCGTTCGTACAACCGTCTAGGCGGACACGGCTGGCGCTTTCTCGACGAGAACATAGGTGAGGCGTCCTCCCCCGCCCCTCCGAATCTTAAAAGCTTCTCTACCTCTTCATAGTGCATGATGTCCGATCCATTCTCTGTCAGCGCTGGAGTGGTCGGCGTGGTGTCTCTTGGCCTTACCCTTGGACAGGGTTTCTTGCGCTACTACACGCCGTGGCACGACTATGATGATGAGATTCGAGGGTTTACCGCCAAAGTCAATGGCCTTTTACGCACCTTACGCCTGCTCAATAGCTTCTTGTCGCCGGAAACTGAACTACACCTTCCATCTGACCAATATTGCCTTTTAGTGCAGGATAATCTAGCATCCTGCGAAAAGGCATGTCGGCGCCTGGAGAAGATATTGGAGGAATGCAAATCCACCACCTCGAACGTTCCAAGTTCGTCTTCTATGTCGAAACGTGATCGGTTTCGACTTCATGTTGAGAGAGCCGCCTACCCTTTCAAGAAGGGGACATTGGTTACACTGTCAGAATTGGTGTCGGGTTTGCAAGATAACCTGAATCTCGCTGTTCAGCTCCTGACAAGGTACGGGATAATCGCTTTCTCTAGATTTACAACTCTCGTTCTCGGATTAATTAAGTTTCAAGCGCTCTCATGCGTCAGCAACAGAGGCAGATACAAGACGTCATATCAAGAACGTCATCTATTGACCTGAAAACAACGAAAATACTCACGGTCGTCGAGCAGCAAGAAACAGGCACCAGCTCCCAAGCTGTTTTTCAGAGCTCGTCAATTAGGTCTAGAGCGACTCATCCCATCCAGCCCGCGATGCCAGAACCGAGTCTACTACGAGACCTTTGTGACAAACAGCAGCTCATGAATTCCTGGTTGCGGAGGAAGCGAAGGGTGCCCGGGTCACAAATCGAGCAGATCTCACAATACTGTACCTGCCGTCGGATGACGCGATTTGGATCACAGAGCCACCGGTCTTTTGGCCGATGGTTCTTCCCCGCGTCCTCATGCTCGACCTATTCGCTGCACGAAGAGTCCTGCCCGTTGTATGTCGACGGTCAACAGGCGTCAGGGTTTGCCGGGAGTTTCACATTCTGCAACAGATTTCTGGGGTTTTCAGTGCAGGTCATGATGACTCTGACGAGGGGCGCAGGCTCCTTTGCAATTAGCCCAGTGATTCGGATGCAGGCTGTGGTGAGCCGCGACTCCCCAGCGTTTTTCTATCTACACCATGCTGGCATTGATAGAGATGCCAATTTTGAAGAGATACAAGCGGCTCTTCTCAGGATGTTCCACACCGGGGAGGCCAGCCCAACGGATCGTCTTGAGGATGGGAGCACAATCTTACATGTAAGTTTAGTTCAGCTCGTGATTGCAGTTCCTAGTACGGTCACGATCAACCTACACTGACGCCTTACGATAGGCGCTTTGCTCCTCCTACATCGAGGCCGAAATCAGGCGTGAGTCAAAATCCCTTGGCGATTTCAAAGCATTGGTCAAGTCAATGATCGATGCTGGTGTACCTTACAACGAGCGCGATATCCGTGGCAGCACGGTATCTGACCGCCTTATTCGTTATGGTCGCTTCAATGAAGTGGAAGGTCACTTGTCTCCATCTGACCAGAAGTTGGGCGCTCTGGAAATTCTTTTGAATTCCGGTGGATCCCTGAATTCGCCTGTGCTGGAGAATGGTGGGAGCTGGTACTGTGACGCATCACAAGTTGCACGATATCTACTGCCAAGATTTCTCCACGGTACGTAAGTCGACTGAAAAATAACCATATTACTATTCTAACTGGCTAGAGTTTGAGTTTATGGAGATCGAAATTGCCATTTTAACCAGATCAGAAGAATCTCTCAAGCGTTGTTTGATGCCAGAGGATAACCAACGATTTCATGACGCATTCATCACGGGATACTTTCACCTTCTCCATCTGTCCCTGGGCTGGCCGGATGGGCTGGTCCTGTTGTTGGAGTCGCCGCTACGTCAGTCCGCTGACCTTATCAAAGACGGTCCCCGTTTCGTACACCCAGTTGGGGATTGTTTTTGCTGGGCATGCTATGAGGGGGAAACCGAATGTGCCTTAATACTTCTGGGATTCCTTGAATTCGTTGAACTGGGTCATCTATTTGCAGCGGCCGATCTCAAGGACGTCTCCATTCTAATAGGGATAATTTCGGCCCTGGGCAAATCCCGACATGACCTCCAGAAGCTGGCTCTAGAACACTTGCCGGATGATGTTGTGCGAGCACTTTCTCTGCCAATCAGCGGACTCTTGGACACCAAAGCTTTTGACGTGCACAGGGAATCGGAAGACTGCAACATTGATGTGCCCTTGCACTGGAAATTGACCGCCTCTGTATACAGTGTGGTGGGTGGCGACATAGCAATCTTCGAACGTCTTTATGCTGCTGGATTTACGGAATTAAACCAGTGTGGTAGAAACGGCATCACACCCCTCATGAAGCTTCTTGATCATCAGAGACCCTCACCTGACCCGTATGCTCCTTTAAAGAGCGTGGAATGGATGGTCCGTTGGGGTGCCAGCCTCTATCAAGTCTCAGGGGATGGGTATGCTTCAATCTTCTATCTAAGCACCCGCATTGGAATGATCCTACGATCTTGGGGAAAACGGTACTCTCAAGACAAGAGTCTTGCATCGCTCACGACCACACAGGATCTAGAAACGATCAAGTGCCTTTGTCTGCTCATGCCGGCCGGCTCACGGGACGGCTGCTCATGCGCGTGTACATCTGGAAATGGTGGCTGCACCTCATTTCAGCAGATGCTTCGAGCCTTCATCAGAGTCCGTTACGAGAGCTTCTGGGAATCCGCTTTCGCATCACTCGCCGCCATGATTGACGAGCTCCTGAATTTTCCATCAAAACCTCTTTCAGCCGATCACGGTCTTGATATTTCTCATCAGCTCCTGCGCTACCTACATTCGAAGCCCTGGAAATAACGCATACGTGCCATGACAATCAAAGGAAGCGCCCCACTATGGAATTCAGCAGGATGGACGAGGCAGAGGTCCAAGAGATACGCGAAGAGGAAGCCACGCTAATCAGTCAACTAGAGGAATTGATTGTCGAGTTCACCATGAAGTACAACGAACTTGGGCTTGGACTGCATGACTTCATCCAGGAGTACTGGGGCCCTCGCATAGACAGCGTTGTTTATCCAGATAAAGCGGATCTCGATCCGGGACACAAACGGCGAGTCCAGGAGGTTGGTGTGATTCTGGAACCGACTAGCGACTCGGGGTCTCAATATGTTGATTCATTTTAATTTCATTTCTGTTTCCTCTTGGATGTCCCCTTTTCTGTTTCTGCTATTTGAGACCGTCCCCTGATTACACCTTGCATAGCCCTGAGTCACTACCCTCAAGATGCAACAATGCCACCTGGCAACTTTTCTCGGTTGCATATCGATCGTTACCCAGGTACGTCTACATCACTCGAGAGGGTCTGGATATTGACTCCATCTAATCGACTCTAGGACGCTAGCAGTAGGCCGGGGACTATATCATTGTTCTGGACCATGATCTTGCACCACTATTGTATCTATAGTGATGTCTATGTCAATGCCTGAATTTGCAAGGCCGGACAATCTCACAATGCCTTCCGAAACGAAACATCGGCTATATACGTCTTGGCTATAATCATAGCCCCTGACCACGTCCGCTCGCTTTTATCGACATGATCGGGGGTTATATGGCTGCCGGCAGTGGGTTCTTATGGCACCCTTCTGAGTACAGTACGGAGTACGGCAAGTCGAAGCCCGCTTCCCCCGTTGCGTTGAACAGGGCGACATCACCAAGACAATGACATTCGAAGCAGTGAGCTTGTCCTTTTTGCTGGCATCCGTCCCGTCTTCTCGTCTTCCGATCTGTCTGGGTACAGCTAAAAATACAATCAACGCATCCAGTCAAGCGACGCCCAGCCAGTGCAAGAAGGCATCGCCATCCAGATTCGAGAGCAGCTGCAATCTAACCGACATAGTTCCAACCTCGACTAGTACCTCCTTCTCTGCGTTGAATAATCAGCTTCCAGCGCCCGTCGTGCACACCACTCCTGTGGTCACTTTCCTTATGAGGCTCTGTTGACTCGAACCTGGCACATACGACCACAGGGTGTGGAGAACAGGGCTTCCCGTCCGCTCAGCCGTACTTAAACCACACGCCGGCTGGTTAGTAGTATGGTGGGTGACCACATGCGAATCCCAGCTGTTGTATGTTTTTTGTTTTTGACAGTGGAGCAATTCTCTACTGGTGGTCGTGATGGACGTGGGTGGCTTGTTTAGGAGGCCAGCGTGGGGCAGCGTAGCCCTCCCTCAGCAACTTGCTGACGGAGGAATAATCGTGTGCCACTTGTTCACCGCTATGGTTTTTACCTGGTTTTAAGATTCCTTGCTTTCTTGTCCAAAGAATGAGACGGGTTTTCTCTATTAGGGTACGTGTGACTCGATGAGGTGGTGATCAAACTGAAGGCATAAACAGACACAAGTAGTATGAGACAACTGACCTTCTCTTAGACCGTGCTTCAAGGCCCTCAGCTGATGCCATACATATACAGTCTAAACGGGACAGCAGTCATTCACCTGCATATTAGACCAGTGTCCTGCTCAGTCACAGAGTACGTAGTGCTTAGTCACCTACGGGGCGGGATGTGTAGTCTCAACTTCCAAGTCTGTTATTACTTCGCCCTCTTCTTCCCCAGTCCTCCCCCGTCAATCCATCAAAGAATCCATCAAGAATCCATCCGGGGCATGTCATTCAACATCCTCCCCACAGAGATCGTCCTTCTGATTCTAGACTGCATCGATTCAACCACAATCCTCCAGCGCTTCTGCCTCCTCTCCAAGAAATTCCACGCAATCGCTCAGCCCCTCCTCTACCGCGAGATCATCGTCAGCGCCGAAGATTCCCTGCTATCCCTCCTCCTCCTCTGTCGCACGATAACTACCTGTCCGTTTATCGCAGCGCAGGTTCAGCTACTCGATATCGACACAGAGAAGACAGGGGATGTGGCGAATCATGAAAGCGTTGCAAGCGCCACAAGCGCCACCAAGCAGCGAGGCTTTTTGAGTACTGACCTGCGCTTGCTCAAAGCCGAGGCGCAGAATCTTGGGTTGGAAAGTATAGAGACATTTGATTCCAGATTCTGGGCAACAGAGTCTATCATACTGTCTATATTACTCATATCCTGCTTCCCCAGTCTCAGAGAGCTGTGCATCACCCTTGACCCCGCAGGGCTGTCGCTGCTTACGGGCCTCGCGCAGACACGGGCGCCACATGATACACAGCAATCGTTAGCCTGCCTAGGTAGCTTGAAGACGCTGCATCTAGGCTGCTTTTCCGGGTCGAGTGGCAGTGGAATCGACATCGCCGATATCACTGCTTGTCTTTCTCTCCTGCACCTGAGTAAGATCGAGATTAGCAACCGCGTTTCTCCTCCGACCCCTCCTCACCAGCTTCGTCTGGCAACTCCGGCTGCAGAAGTTGGCCTGCTTCCCTCGCTCTCTGTCTCAACGGTATCCCTGTGTATGAATTCCATCAGGGAGGCGGGAATCAACGCGCTAGTGAAGTCCTGCAAGGAGCTAGACTCGTTCTACTGCGGACAGAGCGATTCCCAAGAGGAGCAGCTGAGCCCGCAGCAATTATACGCGCTGCTCTTCTGTCACCGGCGCAGCCTGCGTATCCTGCAGCTCTCGTTCGAAGCAGAAACCTACGTATCATCCTGTCAATGATGACGGTTTTCTGCCACATTATGTAACCTAGGCGGTAGGCGACCTTTGTACTTAGCTACCTTGATATTATTAAGATCCTAGGAATATTATTATTTTTTACCTTATAAAAAGCTTAGCCCTTTATAATAGTAGCATGTCCAAGTTAATTAGCCACTAAAAACTAAAAACTATATAACTATTTATTATTTCTAGGTTTTTTTGTTTAATATATTTATACGCCTTATTTTTATTAATATTTAACTAATGCCTAGTAAGCTTTACTATACTAAAATTTTTATTAATTAATTATCTTGCTAATTTACTTTTACCTTTATAAATTTATTATTTAAGATTTACTTTTTCTTAATATTCTACACTTCTAAACTTTTTTAAATTACTATTTTTTTTTACTTCTTTTCTCTTACTTTTTAAGTTTTTTTTTTATTATTATAGGGTGCTTTCTTTTTTTACTAAAACTTTTTATAAATTTTATTTTTTATTACCGCCTTTATAACCCCGCTTTTAAAACCTTAGTTTTTTTAAACCTTTTTTTAAAGGTAATTTAATTTTAACTTTTGTTTAGTAAACTATTTAAATATAAAGGCTTTTTTTTAAATTTTTTATAATACTTTTTTTTTAAAATTTTTATAATGCTTTAAATCCACGGTTAGCATAATTAATATTTAGCTAAAGGTTAGCTAAGCTTACTTATTAACTAAATACTTTTAAAAAAATAAAGCATGCTTTTACTACTAATTTTAATTATATTATAAAGTACTTAATTTTTTTTTTACTAAGTATTTTAATACTTTTTTATTTATTTAGCTTACCCCGTACCCTTTTAGCTAAAATCTTAATTAATTTATACTAAATAAAAAAATAAAAAAAATTTTATATATAGTTAAAAGCAAGAGGCTTAATATAAAAAAGAAGTTTTTAAGCTAGGTTAGCAGGAATTTAGTAAATAAAATTAAAATAGTATTTTAATTTATAAACCTGCTAAGTAAAACATACTTTTACTTAGCCTTTAAAATTACTAAACTAAAAATTCTTACTTAACCACTTTTTTATACTTTTAAAAATAATATTATAAAAAATATTAAACCTAAAACTGCTAAACCTGCCACAAGACACGTAAATATTAAATAAATTATTAATACTAAAGCTAATTATAATTTAAGCTTAAACACCTTATTAAAAATAGTGTAAATAAAAGAATCCTAGTCTAGTATTAAATTTAATAATTTTAAAAATAAAATAGCTACCTATACTGCCCTAAAACCAAAGGCAGGCCCTTTTTAAAAAAAATACTAAGTTAGGAGCTACCTTAGGCTAGTAACTTTTTTAAGCTTTTAAAGGCTTAAAATTAGGATTTACCTTGCTTAGCAAGTAACTTATATAAATATAAATTATAAAAATATTTAATTAACCTTTCTTTTAAATTATTTAACTAACTATTATAATTATAATAATTATATTTATTAACGCCACCTTGGCTTGGATTTTAATAGCTATTTAAATAATAAATATTAGTATTAACTAAATTAATACTATAATATAATAAAGTAACAACCACTTAATAAAGTTAAAAAATTAACTAAATAAAATATAATAAATATAAAATAAGTAAAACTAAAAAATAAAGCTAAATTATTAAATTAATAAATTACTAGGTTAGCTAGCCAAAAACCAGCTAGCTAAAAATAACAAGAATAATTAAAATATAGTAAATAAAAATAGTGGTAAAAATAGTAAAATTTCTCTAGGACCTTTTAAAGAAGAGCCGGATAATTTAAATAATAAAAAAAATTTAAATCTAGGAAACCTTGGTGGTTAAAAACATTTAAATATTAAAATATTATTTTATTAATAGCCTGTTAATCTAGTCATGTTTTATAATAACTAAAAAAATAAAAAAAATTAGCTTTTTTTATCCTAATTTAAAAAAAAATATAATTATTAAGTTAAAAGGTTTTTATATATTTTATAAAAATATTTATATATTTATAAACCAGCTTCGCGACATAATTATATATAAAAAAAAACTTATAATAAAGGCTAATTTAACTACTTATTTTTATAAATTTACGCTTAATTAATACATATTATAGCTTTTAAATATTAAAAAGCTTAGTTTTTAAAAGGGCGCCATAAAAAAAAATAAATTTTTTTATTAATTAAGTACTTTAAGCTAAACCTATATACCTTTTTTATAAAGCTTTAAAAGATAAAGTA